GAATATTTTTTCTAAAAAAATATTCATGCTTGTTTGACTTTTACTTTAACTGGCTTGCAACCAGAGGGAGCATCGACGTCTTCAAAGAATGTCAATGCATAATCTCTCACACTGTATTGTTCCGGATCTCTAATATTTTTACAGGCATAGAAACCCGTGGTGGAGCCATTGATTGAGATATAGTCTCCAACAACAGCAAAGTTGGCATTTGTTTGGATGACCGTTAATGCAGCAACATTATCATATACAGTGAAATTCTTGGGATAATTTATGGAGTCGTCATAAAGCTGCGTTTTGTTAGCGTCAAACTTTAGTTGTTGTCCTACGGAGGAATTCCCCAAAAATAGAAAGTTGAGATCCGCACCTTCGTAGACACTGTACAATCCCTTATTGTCAACATCTTTAAAGTTGATAGATTCAGTGACTAAATTGACACCGACAGCTTTTGCGGCTGCTATGCATACCATAGAAGCAATTGTAATGATTGAGGCGGCTTTCATGATGTAGTGATATCTTAATCAAAAGTATCTTTCATACTTAGCCAAAAGATGCGACGAGCTGCTTAAATATTCCTGGCGGCATTTCTCCATCACAGATTATGATATCATGTCTTCTCTCAGAATGCTGTTTATTTATTGTTAGTTACACCACAATAGTGTTTGCACTTCAAACATTCTCATAGCTGAACCAAGTGACTTCGAGCGCTGTTCGCATCACGTTACAAGCTCTTTTGTATAAAGAGAGTGAACAATAGGCTCTAAATATAGATTTCGTGTCGCTCAATAGCCACCGAGAATAAGGTACACTTTCCTCTTTTGATTTCAATAAACGACAAAAATGTCAACATTAGCTCCTACCGAGTTTTAGTATAAGTCAAGTCACCGCGTTCGCTGCTTAAAACAAAGCTCAAACTCAAGGTTATGTGCTTTGAATTGTGCTCTTTCAAAGAATAGGATGAAAAAAGAACATAGTCGCGTACAGGTCTACACATGCTACTGTTTGCTACTAATGTTTATTGGAAGAACAACGAAAGTAACCTTGCGGGTGATCTAATTCTGTATGAGGAAGTGCAACCAAAAAAAAAATCCTCAAGGTGATGTATATAAGACGCTTCTGTGTCGAGAGTGATACTGACGAATAATCACTTGTAACAGAGCTTCCTACCAAGACGAATAGTTTCAAGAATCAAGGCGCGTTCAATTCTCAGTTTTAGTTTATAAGTTCTTAAATTTCGGTTTCTTACGGGGCTACTTGGACGAGAGTTTCGAAAAAATTGAAGCTAAACTTTTATATTACAACTAAGACGGATTCAAAGAAAAAGTAATGCGAACACATAATTCCATTCCGAAACTTCAACCCATTACTCTTTGATCTTATATTCTATAAAACGAGGTAGATTGATCCATACTTCTTCAGCTCTCAATTTCAATTGCTGGTTTTTATTTTTGTCTATCAGCCTATACATCTTCAGTATCTTGGGTTCAATCTCTTGCAATTTGCCAATATAATTCTGCTGAACAAAAACCGGCTCATCATAGTCAAATTCCTTGTCTCCAAAAATATCATAAAGCAGATTTAAACCCTCAATACACACTTCCGTAGCTGTTGGCTCCTGGACCTCACTAAAGTGTTGAATAGTAACGACAATAAAACGCGAGATGTTTGAAACACTCTCTATATCGCCTATAACGGGCGCTATGCTTCCTAAGAAACCAACGGCTGATAGTACAAACTGAATACTGTCAATATCTTGCAACTGTTCGCACTTGCTAATTAACAGCGTAATCATATCCTTGGTTATCTTTGTCTGAACTTGTGGTCCAATAGCTTTCACAATAGCCCACAAAATATTTAAGCCTAAAGCTTGAATTTGATAATCTTCCAGAACTTGAGTCCTCTGAACGACTATATCCCAAGCTGCTAAGCTTTTTTCATACCATTCAACGGGAATTGACACACAGGTCAAAAACATCCAGCATAAGTTGTTCAACGTAGTTAGTTCTTTCTCAAGAGGCAATACTGAATTTTCTTTTTTTAATAGTTCTGTGATTAAAGGGTAGGTCTTTGTCATTAAAGTGAATAGTAATTTATCACTTAACTGGATAGGCTCGCCGGTTTCATTAAATGATGCAAATTCGACAATTGACGTAATTATATCCAAAGATACTTCTAGGCATGCTAACTCATTTTTCACATTTATAGTCGCGTTGTCATCACCTGATAATTGATGACTAACCTCTTTTCCATTTTGAATAGGTTCTAAGGCATTATCTAAAGACTTGTTCTTTAATTGTAAATTATCAATGTCAATTGTAGTAGTAATGTCAAATAAACTGATCAATATCTGTGATGTAAGTTCTTCCTTGTCTTCATATTGGCCCAAGGCTTCCAAGATGTTAAATTTTATTCCTTGAAAGTATACTTCATCAAGTTTATTATTAGAAGCAGAAGAAATATCATTAATCTTCTGTAGTTGGAACAACCCATTTTGTTCTAACTTCTGAATAAATTTCAAGGAGTCTGAAGTGAATTCGTAAATGTATTCTAATGCACTAGTGATTAGTTTCAGGGTAACAAATTTATATTGAGATCCTGAGTTTATGAGATTAGCAACCAATTCTAAAGACGAATCTATGTTGTCTACTATCTTATCTTCAAATTCCTCACCTTCTTGCAGAATCACAATAATTAAAGATAATATATTCTCCGTGAAGTCAAGTAGCAACTGAATTTTTGACTTGTCTTGTTTCTCCTCGCTGTGTTCTCCTAGAAACTCGAATGAAGTCTTAATCTTCAGCAAAGAATGCTCAATTGCTGTCCAAATGTCAGATCTCCACATATGCTTTACAGAACTGTATCCCTCTTCTATGCCAATATTTCTCAATAAACCGAAGGATTCAACAACAATTTCATCGTTAGAGTCATTCAAGCATTGCTCCATGACAATGCTGATTAATTTTTCCTTAAGCAAAAGTTTTCTCATGCGCTCATCTTCAGAAAGGACAGTAATTGCGCTCAATGCAAGAGATCTATCATTCGCAGCGGTAGAAGACAACTTGCTAATTAAAGGTAAGACCTTCGATTGACGCAACTGTTCATCTTTATGGTCTTGATTATCAGAATTCTTTCTGCCAAGAGGATTACTCCTTGATTTTCTGTTATTCTTACTTCTTTTAAGCTTCCCCATGCTTCTTGTATTAAACCATCAAAAGGTACACTCTTACAGTTCTGCGATGAGTGTAGATACGATTTTTTTTATAATGCGGGTTTGTGTCATTATTCTTTCCTACAGAGTATGATTTCGTTAGCTGTATTATTATACTAGTGAACCTATATCGGACTCTTAATCAGTGTTGATACTGACTAGGCCCAAATAGTTTGAGCTGGAACATCTACTTAATTTCTCGTTGGATCATTTTTCGGAGGTTTCTTTAACAAGGTCTGTTTTAACCTGAGTTTCTTTCGGATCTTGTACGTTTGGATGCAAAGTTTCCCTGACCTTCTCTTTCAAATCACTCCACGAGGCAGGTTGATCAGATGTATCCCTTATATAAATATCATTTCTGAGGTTATCGTCTTTTCTTAACTGATCTCTTGATAATTGTTAGTATCACAGCTTTACGAAATAAAATGTTCTTTGACTTACATCACCAAAGGCTGCCAAAATTTAAGCCCAGCATACCAGCTTAAGCCTCCAACAAACAAAATAGTAATTGCTTTTACAGCACCGTTTGACATATTTGGCTAAAGGTAATCTCAATGCAGTGCTTTCGATTGATAAAACTGAACTGACCAATTTGTATTCATATGTACTTAATTATGCAGGAATATATTTCATATTTTGGCTTCACATCCTAAATGTTACGTCTATGTGCTTAAATAACAGAAGACTCGGTGTTCTAGGCAACATGATATGGATCGCTTAGCCTGTATGAATCTAGGCCCCAATTTCTTAAGATTATGTTTAGGGTTGAAAATAACTAGAGAAAAAAGAGAAGTTTTTACGCAGCATATTTGAACACATACTTTCGCTTCTTGATCCAAGTAACCTAGCTATAGGCTTGTTGTCAATTAATGCAGCTTCGCTTTTTCATGTGAATTGCCTGGAATACAGATACAATTTATGAGTACATTAGTGGTGAGCTCTTCTTTCATTCCCATTAAGCAATCAGTGAACAAAAAGAAAGACATATCGAGAGAGCCATACTAATTAACTAGCTTATAAAGCTTTTAGAATATTAATTCTTACCCTTGAGCTTAAATGACCTTTGAAGTTGTTATAGCTCTATCTTGTTAATGCAAAATTGATATAGCTAAATCCGGGTAATCACATTCTGATATTCGATATATACTAAAGGCATCTCTCGGCCATTCTAAAACAAGATTCTTTTTTCTTTTCTTAATCAAAAAGCTTAATAAAGCAAGGGAATATTTGCCACGACGAGATAATGTAAATTGTCAAGTTATACTCGTTGCCATATTATTATAGTATTTCAATTCCCGAGAGCATTTCTCCCTATAGGAAGTTTGAAGTCCGATTGGGTCTCTTCAGTGAGGCGATGGATTTCGAATGTCGATAAAATGGGACACATTCATAAGTGTAGCTAAAATATTAGTTTATATCGTGTAGAGAACCCCAAACAATACAAAGTTGACTCTACGAGTTCAAAATTCACTACAAGAATTTTTGTCAATAAAAGTTATCTATTGAGCCATATATAACGCCCTTTTGAATCCTTTGTTGCAGGGTTGAGCCATAAATTATACACAATGTTGCATTAAAGAACTTCAATCAAAATCCTTAAGTGGCCATTAAGTAATGGATCCAAGTGTAATTGCTTTTGCCTTGTTCAAATCATGCTTAACGGAACTTGTTGAAACCGATATCAGTGGCCTTTTCTCTGAAGCATTGACGGCAGATGTTCAAACCGTATTTTCTGATTAAACCGGAGTGGGAGCTACAGACACGGCATTGTCTTGAACCCTTACCGAAGTTTCTTGGGTGGGAAAACCAAACAGAATCGTGAGCCATTATGCTAAAATTGTTAGTATGTTGCTTCATTTTATTGTTATGAAATTTGATCACAAGAGTTTTCTTGGTTTGCTGACAGCTATACTCCGTCGCCTTTCTTATTCCTAATCCAAAATTTTCACTTTTCAGATTAAAGTGATTCAATCTCAAAGTAGCTATGTTACCTTGAAAGTAGTCAGTAAATAAAGGTAATATACCGTTCATCCCAATATTATCACATATAATCTCATAATTTAGTTCATTCATGTTAGAACTTTTCAGTTCACTGTTCTAAGATTCCCTTACGATAAATACTTCAGAAGCTCCCGTATCTTGGTCCCATTTCATAACAGCTATGTTTTTTAACATCTTATATATACATACTGTTGTTACTATTGAATTTTTAAGTAATATGTCTCTGTATCAATTCTTTAGTTTAAATTTTGATTAAGCCTATAAAATTCTATAGACCAGGTACGAACTGCTCTCCAGAGAGTGAGCACGAAACAAAAAATTTTTCAATTCATTACACAAAAATAAAACAAAAAACCGGTAACAAAAGCACCTGATATACACGTGCTTATTTTTAAATCATGTGATGTTGGCTAGCGATGAGATAGTCCTCTACAGTTGAAAAACCTTGACTGCAGCTTTAGACTGATCTAAAGATACAATCAGCTTGCAAGAGGACGTGAAGACAACATGGTGAAAGGAGGACATTCGCATAGAGCTACTTTGAAGAAGGACCATAAACCATTCAAGTCCAAGCATGCCACAAAGAGTCAATTGAAGAATCAAAGTAAGGGAAGAGTTGAAAAGAACAATGGATCAGGAAAGACGCAAAGAGTGAAGAGTAAGATAGATCGTCGAAATACTTCTAAACAGGTGAAGGAAAACAAATTACAGGAAGTGAAGGTGATGAGAAGACTCTTTGAGGGGAGCCAAGGTGCGGAAAAGATAGTTACAGTGATCGGTCTTACAAAAGACGTACGTGGGGCGTCCATCGCAGCGCAGATTTTTGGTGCCGAAATGGAACTGAAGTTCAGATTTGATGCACCATGCGTAGCAGATATAAATATCAATCGTTTTAAGTCAAAGCTCAAGATTATCGTTCCAGATGAAGACGATTTACTATCAGTGATGGATGCGGCCAAAGTTTCAGATTTTGTGATATTTGGCCTCTCTGCGCTTGAAGAAATAACTCCTGATTACGGTGAGCCGATAATAAGGACAATAATCGCACAGGGAGTTGCTTCTGTGATTGGGGTGTTGCCTAATGTTGTATCGGCATATCCTAAAAGAAACCTTCAACTAGACATTAGGCAGTCACTTTTATCTTACTTTACACACTTTTTCCCGGGAGATGAAAAGCTTTACGCTTTGGAAACGGAATCCGAATTGCAAAATTGCATTAGAACAATTTGCCAAAAGTTTCCTAAGTCGGTAACTTGGAGAGACGCGAGAGGCTACATGGTTGCAGACAAAATTACCTGGGAAGGAAACGGCATCGACAATGGACTTTTGGTTGTTGAGGGAACCGTACGAGGCATTGGATTCAGCTCAAATAGATTAGTTCATATCCCAGGATTTGGAGATTTTCAGATTGATCATATCGAGAAATTATTAAGGAGTCATCTGAAAGTTGAGATAGATATAGATCAAGATGCGTACTTATATCCCAATGAATATCAAGAAACTCTAGAGGAACTAAACCCTGAAGAGGTAGATATGGAAGATGCAAGTCTTAGCGATGATGATGATTATGATAGTATGGGGATCAGAATGGAAGGAAAAAATTATTTCGATGACCAAGAGCAAGACTTGTCTAGACCTAAGAAAGTGCCCAAGGGGACTTCAGAATATCAGGCCAGATGGTTCATCGAGGATGTTGATGATGAAAATGATGATGACTCTGACAATGACAGCGATATTGGACAGGGTATGAGTGAGGATGGAAATGAAGGGGATATGGATATGGAATTTGATGAAGAATCTCGAAATACTGCCGATGAGATGGACGTTTATGAAGAAATTTCGCCTGAGGAGGAAGAGAGGCAATTGAGAGAATTCAGAGCGCTTTCGAATGAAGATCTTGAATTTCCAGATGAAGAGGAGTTGCATCCTTCTGAATCAGCAAAGGAGAGGTTTGCTGGATATAGAGGAGTCAAATCTTTAGCCAATTGTAATTGGGATTATCAAGAGACTGATACCAATGAACCAAGCATTTGGAAGAGATTATTGAGGATTTCCAACTTTAGAGCAACTAAAAATAAAATTTGTAAAGATTCAATCAAAGAAGTACAAATCAATGTTGGAAATAAAGTAAGATTGTATGTCAAAGCTCCTTTAGCTATTTCAGAAAAGTTCAGTGCTTCAAAAGGTCCGTTTATAATTTATGGTTTGTTGCAACATGAACATAAGCTTTCTGTAGCCAACTTTTCATTCGAGCATTGGGAAGATGTAACGGAGCCAATACCGTCCAACGATACTTTGATAGTACAGTACGGGCCCCGAAGACAGGTAATTCAACCTATTTTTAACCAAGCATCTAACAATTCAAATAACGTCCACAAAATGGAAAGATTTGCTCACGAGGGAAGTACAGTCATCGCTACTACGATAGCTCCCGTTTTATTCAGCAATGCGCCTGCTATATTTTTTCGAGTTAACTCTTCTGGGGCTTTAAACCTAGTTGGCCGTGGAACATTTTTGGATTGTGACCATAAGCGAGTTCTAGCAGAACGTGTTGTCTTAACTGGGCATCCAGTGAAAATCCACAAGAAACTTGTCACTGTTAGATATATGTTCTTTAATGCTGAAGATATTAACTGGTTTAAGGCTGTTCCTCTTTTTACGAGATCTGGAAGGACCGGTTTTATCAAAGAGAGTTTAGGAACTCATGGTTATTTTAAAGCTACATTTGATGGAAAGCTCACATCACAAGATGTAGTCGCAATGAGTTTATATAAAAGAGCTTGGCCTGTTTATCATTCCTAAGGCTTGAGCAACTGTAATTAGTATTTACACTAATAGAATCTGTATAATAGAGATAATATATTTTGCAATCGATGTACTTTGGATTACTTAATTCGCACTTTTAGGAATAATGAGTCTTCGTGACTAACTAGTATTTAATTATATATAGAGAACGACTACAGTGAATTAAAGATTGGCAAAAAGAATATGAACTCCTTTATTGTTGATAGCTCCAAGCCGGCTACGTCAACATTTACGTGCCACACCTGTGGAATAAAGTTTGCCGCAGCTGATCTTCAAAGGCAACATATGAAGACAGATTGGCACAGGTATAATTTAAAGAGAAAGGTGGCCCAGCTTCCTTCAATCAGCTCTGATGTATTTGCGGAGAAGATATTAGATTCTCAAAGGCGAGCTGAAGAGCAGCCAGAAGTTGATGAGTTTGGATTTGTTATCGATACTAAGAGAGGGGGAAAACGGACACTGTTTACCAAGAAACTTGAAGAACGGACAAGAAGAGGGAGGACTTTTGAGGCCTCTGTTCGTGAGTCAAGAACCGAAAGCCCTTACTCTGTAACGTCTCATCTTTCTGAGTTCTCGTTAGGAGACTCGATGGCAGAAACGTTCTCAAATGCTGAGACAGGATCTGAGCTCAATTATACGGAATCTGATTTCACGGACTTGGATGGCATGTATGAGCTTGATTCAGAGACTGAATCATGGGAGGAAGATATGTCTGAGACTGAGAGTCTCGAGAACGTGGATATAATGCCAATATCACATTGTTTCATTTGTGGGCGGAATAATCATAATGCGGAAGAGAACGCTAGACACATGTTCAGCAGTCATGGTCTATACATACCTAAAAGATCATATCTTTCGGACTTAGATGGACTACTAACCTACATAAGTGAGATAATTACTATTTACAACGAATGCCTTGTTTGTAACTTTCAAGGGAAGAGTTTGATCAGTATAAGGCAACATATGTGCTCAAAAGGTCATTGCAAGCTTCCTTATGAGACTAAGGAAGAAAAACTTGCGATTGCACAATTCTACAACTTTGATTCTCATACATCTTTGACACATCTACCAATCCACAGTCGGAAGCATGTTTCTTTCGAGGATCAAGGAGAAGAGGTAATAGTTAATGTTTTACCCGATCTGCCAACACTGGCGGACTCAATAAGAGATCCCATATCTAATGATAATTACTCCCTAGTGCATGTGGACCCGACTGGCGTAGAATTGACCTTGCCTACAGGGTCTCGAATAGGTCACAGATCTATGGTTCGATACTACCGTCAAAATGTTGCTCTTCCTAGAGAAAATTCAGAGTCCCAAAGAACAGTTGCAGTTGCCGATAGACGCTTTGCGCCTGGATTGACTCTGCGTGAAGTAATCAAACAACAGGCGCAGACTCAAAAGCAGATCCAAGTTGCACGCAATATATATGAGAGAAAATCAAAGCCAGCGAGGATAAACTTCCAACGCCATTACAGAGACGAGCTTTTGGGTCCTATGTAATGGAACCTACTTTTAAATATATATATATATATTTGCATTCGTTTTCGTTGTGTGGTTTTTGATAATGGTTGATTAGTCACTCTAATGTACAATCACCACTATTTCCTAGTCTTCTCTGGTAGAGCCTACTTGTCTCAATATTACATAGTCATTATTATGTGTTCACGTTACTCCGGATATACTCCGTTTAGAGATCATTAATATGTGATGACTTCATAGATACTAAAATTATGTAAGCATGGAAGTTTATCGAAATTCTCAAGCTGTCGCAAAATAGCACGTTAAAGCGGGACAAACAGATAATAATGAATATAACTTAGAACCCTATTTTTATTAGTAAAGCCTAAGCAAACTAAGTAATTTTTGCTAAAACTGAAGTAAGAGGTTTTTGAAGAGTAACTAGAGGAAAAAAGCGGTCGTTATCACTGAAAACATCAAAAAGTTATAGTAGATAGGCGTCGCGTGAGTTAGCAAGAAGGACTATCTATAGTTGATAAGGAACGATTCTTGTTGATTAATAAAAGTTTTCATTCCTAAAAAGATAAAGAAAGGTATTTACTAAGTCGTATACGAGGAGGTGAATCTTAATTCTTAGCTTAGGCGAGAGCCAATCAATATCAAAAGATTGAGATACGCAACAGAGAGATCAAAGCAACATGGCAGTAGAAACGCAGTTATATGATGTTCTTACCATTCTGACTAATGCCTCAACAGAGGAAATTTCGAAAGCGTATAAAAAGTTGGCATTGAAATTCCACCCAGACAAGACAAACCATGATGAGACATTGACAGAACGATTTAAAGAAATAACTAGAGCGTATGAAATCTTAAAAGATTCTAGGACACGTAAGGTTTACGACAGATATGGTGAAGCAGGGTTGAATGGCAATGTTCCAGAAGAAGAGACGGTGCTGAGGAGTAGAGGACGGCCAAATGGCCCAATGGGAGGCTTTCCTTTTGGCGGTTCAAGTAGTGTATTCTCTCAGATGTTTTCTGACATGAATTCTATGTTTGGCAATGATAACGTGTTTGAATCATTCAATCTGTTTCCCTTCGATATGCATTCAAACATGTCGACTGGAGGTGGCAACATGAGGCGACAAGTGAGACCGGCTGATAGCTCAGGTCGAAAAACTGTCAGGGGCCGTGATATACATCACAGTTGTAAAGTGACTTTAAGTGACATGTACTACGGCAAGAAAGTTGTATTTCAGTTACCCAAGAATAGTATGTGTCGCCTCTGCTCTGGAACTGGGGGTTCAAATGCAAAGCTGTGCAGCACCTGTAAAGGTAGAGGACGTGTAATTGTGACTATGTTCAACAATATGTCAAGGTTCCAGGAATTGACCTCCTGTGATGACTGTGGCGGGACTGGTATTTATATTTTCCCTAGGGATGTTTGCATGAATTGCAATCGAATGGGTTACGTCAAGGAAAATAAAATTATTAAAACATTCATATATCCGGGTTCAAAAGACGGAGATAAAATCATATTAAAGAAGCAAGCTGATGAGGGTAGAGATGTCATCCCAGGTGATGTTGTGATTCACCTACAAGAAATCCAGCATCCATTTTTGACAAGAAAGTATAATGATCTATATATGGAGCATGAGGTAGAATTGAAGATTGCATTATTAGGGGGTAAAATTGTATTGAAGGATTTTTTGAAGGAAGGGCAAGACCTCGAAATATTTGTGAATGTTCACGGCAACAAACAGCTAAACGAATCCATTGATAATTCCATTCAACAAGGTGAAGTCGTTGGTACGATAAGCTCCGGTGAGCCAAAAATAGTGAAAAATCTAGGAATGCCCATCAATTATTCAGATGGAGTCTTTTATGAGAACCTTGATGAAATATCAAACATGGATCACCGCACTTTTGATTTGTCGAATTACAAAAAGGGCAACTTATTCATTAAATTTAACGTCAGGTTGCCTAAAATTTCAGACTTCTCACATGGTGTAACAGATTTATTAGCATTACAATCTATTCTACCGTCGAGCAAAGCACCAAGTCCTTCAAAAAACTGTATCAAAGGGCATTTATCTAACATTTCAGGTATGGGAGGTGGATCCGATAGCATTACATCCACGTCACCTTCTTCTTCTTCTTCTCGGTATTATCCGGAGGAGGGAAGTGTATCGGGAAATGAATATGGGTCTGATTACGAAATGGTTCCCGATCATGACCCAGATGTAAACGATTCTGACGATAGCATCCAAGAAGTTTCTCCAGATGATGTAGCTTGGAAAAATCGAAATACCTCTAAGAGAAAGAAAAGGAGACGCGGGGTGGACGATATGAAGTTCCATCAATCAGGCATTGAGTGTTAATAGACTATTACGATTCATTTTATTTATTTATTTACTCAAATTTTTATTTTTCAGATTTCTTTAAATATGAGTTCTTGGTGCTCTCAAGTGGGCGCATGATGGAAACTAATTGTATTATTTTGTTAAATTAATATCGAATTGTTTTGTATTGGCTGCGAAGAATAAGTCCCTTTTAGCATGTTCAAAATTGACTCGCAACTCAGAGATTGAGATTCCTGTATACATATTCTAGATTTAATCAATAGATACGTCCACAGAAGACTACTTTGAGATAGGTGCTAGTTGAAAGGCTAAAATGGATGATTCAAATGTATTGGATCCTTCTGTAATAAAGGATTTATCAAATCACATCTATGAAAAGAGAAAGGCAACAGCATTTCATATCGAGAATTTAACGAAGGCAGCCTTAGCGAGAAATGATAGCAGAACAATCTATAAGATTATTAATGAATTGACTATATTAACGAATGGAGGTACGAATACAGGCAAGATGGGAGCCATAACAGCGTTAGGTAGTGTCTCTGTTGCCTTAGGTTCTTTTGCTATTGCTTATTTTCTTGAAGAAATTGTTAAGCCAATATTTGCTACGTTTAGGGACACGGATGCGAGAGTTAGATACTACGCTTGTGAATCATTATATAACATTGCAAAGATAGCTAGGGGTGAAATATTACTATATTTCAATGAAGTGTTCGATATTTTGTGTATTTTAGTAACTGACACTGAGTCGTCTGTCAAAAATGCTGCTGATATCTTAGATAGACTAATCAAAGACATCGTGAGTGCAAAATCTACTAATTATGTCTCAATTCTTCAACAAGAAGCTTCCCCCAGTGATATATCAGGACATTTTATAAACCAAGAAGGTGTTGGGATCCAAGTTAACAATCCTCAGGATGCTCAAAAGGCATTTTCTTTGCCAAAGTTCATCCCGACTTTGTTGGAAAGGATGTATACTATAGATCCATTTGCTAAAAAGTTTTTGATTAGTTGGATAGAATTGTTTGATGATATACCAGCACTAGAACTTATTACTTTTCTCCCTAACTTTTTAGAACAGTTGATTCGATTCTTGATGAATAATGCTCCTTCTGACGTAAGAACTGAGACTAAAAATCTTTTAAATGTCTTACTTAAAGAGATAAAATCAATTTGCCGGGTCAAGTTCGATCTGAAGAGGAAGCAATTAATTGAAGAACGGAGTAAGCTAAAATTAGAGCAAGCTCCAAATGGGGATTCTACAATAGAAGCAAATGTTGAGGGTTTAAAGCTAAATAATAAAGATGCTGACGATGGAAGCTCCGTGAAATCCAGCTCAACTACTATTATAAAGAGAAAGGATATTGATGCCAAAGAAAGTCAATCTTACCATGATGACGGATATAGAAATGGTGAAGAGATCGAGAATGGTCAGAATATCTACGTTGATTATCCGACAATTATAAGCATTTTATTGTCTTTCCTAAGAGTAAAAGAAGGAAAGGGAGACAACAAGATTATTGATTTGAGTGGTGAGGATCACGATGTTCATTTGGAGATTCAGTTAATAGCTTTAAGGTGGCTTCAAGAAATGCTAGATATATCACCCACAAGCTTTGTTAAGTATTTACCTGATTGTATCTCCATTTTAACAGAAAGTGTTGCACTGGCTGACAAACATAAAGACAATGAATTGAGAAGTCAACTCCTCAAATTAAACTTATCGCTACAACAATTCTTGGTCAATTTGAATGAAAGTGGATTAAAGCTGGAAGATGATGAAGAAGTAACGCCAAACTTGGTAAAGGGGCTCACTAAGGAAGTTTATGATGAGTTTCTTGAATTTCACTTGGGACAGACCCTTCAGGTTCTTATGCAAGAGTGCTTGGAATCTACAGATGAATTATCAAAAATCACCGCATTGGATTGGTTTATATTTTTGTACTCAAAGTATCCTGAACAATTTTTCAAAGGTGAAAGCGACGAGGCTTTAGACTTTACCACACTATTACGGTCATCGATTGACGCCAGCAACGATGTAATATTGCGTGTGTTAAAGCTCTTATCGAAGATATCTGAAAGTAATGAGGTATTTTTCAAAAATTTTATGGGCAGACTAGTACACTTATTTCAAAGTGAATTGGTAGATAAGCCTGAACCTTCAAGTTTGTCAGGCGGTAAAGTCGAATTTATCATTAGGAAGCTTTGTGTGACACTCAGCTCCGAGAAGATATATCGAGAGTTTTCGGAGGTTTTGAAAGGAATCGAGGATTTGAAGTTCTTGAACTCAATGCTAGTTACCCTAAACACTATATTATTGACGGCTCAAGAATTAGCAGGCTTGAGGAAGAAATTAAAAAACCTTGACTCGCATAAGATTGAAGACTGGTCATTATTCGCATCATTATTTCAAAGCTGGAGCAACAATGCTCCCAGTGCCCTATCGTTGTGTCTTCTCACCTCGAATTATGAACTTGCTTACTTGATAATAAAAAATTTATCAGAGCTTGAGGTCGATTTCCAGCTCTTGACACAACTCGATATACTTGTGCAGCTATTGGAGTCTCCAATCTTCTTGAAATTACGCCTACAACTTCTTGAACCAGAGAGGAACCCATATCTCTACAAGACTCTTTATGGCTTGCTAATGATCCTTCCCCAGTCATCAACATTTGTATCTTTGAAAGAGAGATTGTCTTCTGTGTCTTATATACATAGTATCAATGCTTCCTCTACCGGAAGTGGTGTTTCTGGAATTGCAGGTACTGCTTCACTGCCAATGCCCAATAACGTATCATCGGGCCCTTCTACACCATCTGCTACCTTAAGTAGTCAGCCATTTTTGAAAAGAAAGCGCAACTATGAGATGCTTGAGCTTTTCACTAGGGCACAAGAAAGACAAGAGCTGTATACTTTGCTCAAAAAATCTAGAGAACTCTCACCTGTTGGCTCCAGGCAGTTGAGAACACAACCGCTTCACGACAAAAGAGATTACTTTTCTGCTAATTCTTTAAGTGGGTCTGAAATATCCAATAAAGACCACAGAAAAGATTAGCATCATCTAAGTACCCTTAGCATTAAGACTCCAATAATTCTCTTCCAAACCCATAACCTTAGATAGTAAATTTTTTTTTTAACTGTGATTCCAAGTTACACAAAACTGTAAAGAAATTGATGTATATAAATAAAGTTTTTACAGTTTTCCTTATTTATAGGCATATCAGTAACATTAGCGGTATTACAATTTAGACACAGCATTGATTAAAGCGTCGACAGTAGACTGATATGTCATCATCTGAGATCAAGAGGTCGTCTTTAGAAGATTTGGCTCGAGGTCAATCCCTGCAATCCTCTCATCTGGCTGTGGAGGCGTTGCGGATTGCGACTGAGTCAACGGCAGCAGCAGAAGCAGATGGAGACAGGTTCCTGGAACACTTGCGACAACATTCACATGGCCAGCGACAGCATATAGGAGAAAGTTCTAGTCATGAAAACGGTAATGAGGACGGGATTGAGTTAACGGAATACGACTTGAAGTCAAGAGACTCTAAATACAAACGATGGTCACCTAAGATGGATCAGTACTTGATAAGTCTACTATCAGATATTGTGCATAGTTTTCCAAAGGGTGTGGAACCAGAGATGACGAAGAAGGCTTGGGCCTATGTTACTGGAAAATTAAGAGCAGCGAACCCTGAGACTGTGTACTCCACTTACACCAAATACTCATGTCAGCAACATCTTATCAATGTGAATCATCATAGGTACAAAATTTGGTATGTATTAGTGCTACATCAAAAAAATAACTCTTCTCAAACAGGATACTCTTATAGATGGAACCCAGATGTTGGAAGATTTCAGGTAATTGATGAAAGTAGAAACTCGCTAATTCTCGATGAACGACAAGTGAAGTCTTTGTTGTATGGCGATTCTTTGTCTTTGCCCTCTTTATCATCATTTAACAAGGGGAATTTAATAGCAAGCGACTTTTTCTTGAGCGATAACTTGAGGTATATTTCAGTGTACCATAACGAGGTACTTCCATTACTAATAAAGATGGATAGTAAGTTTGCAGAGGATTTAGGTGATATTTATGCAGAAATTCCAAAATTCGACTTTCGAGACTCAAGAAAAGGGTATTTTAAACCATTGATACCAGTAAAGCTGCTCAAAAGTTCATCTCCAAACTCCGCATCGAAGCCTAAAAAGCGTGTCCATTCAAGTGACGTACCGGATGTTACTATTTCGTTTGCGCAAGGAATGGCTATACCTAATGGTTCAAGTGTTCTGCATGAAGATGACTCAGTTGATCCAGTTTTAAAGAGATCACGGAACATAGAATCCACTGATTTTGAAAATGTTCTTGCTTCAGCAGCTATTGCTGCAATAAATTCCCCTCCAGTTTCAAATGGACGAGATTCGACTCCACTCTATATTAAAGATCGAAAATGGTTTAATAAATTGTTATCTTACCAAGAATCCGGTCATCTAAGTGTCTCTGAAGTCTTGTCGGTATGTGAAGGAGTCAGAGATGGAAAGATTCCATTATTCATGCTAAATGTTTTAGATAACAGCTACTACTCAAGCAGTGATTCCGATGTTTTGGATCTCACAGATGACGAGGTTGTTAAAAGAATAAGAGAATTCATGATACCAATGACATATAATTCTTGATAATGTTGCAAATGAAAAGTCACGACTTGTAATTAATATATGTACATTAATGAAGCCTGGATATAGGTTTTATATATTTTATAAATGCTGAATGATAAACACTCAATTTAAGTTGTTCTAAAAGAGTATAAATCTAAGTTGTTGCTGAATTAGTCGAAGATGTGGCCTCGGATATAGATCCTTTCAAAGAGATTATCTCCACACTATCGTTTGTATGGGGATGAACAGGCATCGTTGGTTTTACAACTTGATAGCCATTATCCGATTTCCTTAAAGTATTCATGAGCTTTTCGCTACTTTTCGGAAGAAGATTACGTGAAGATCCAATATTCATGTTTGTTGTTCTGTGAGCATCTCCAGGATCTCTTTTGAAGCCATGACTTTGACTTGTAGTCACGTCAGATTCATTCCAATTACTATACGCCACCAATGCGTCCTCGGTATAAGAGGTGTTTTTGTCTAATTTTTCATCATGCAGTTTATCTGTAAGATGTTTCGGTGGTGAAGATGGACTCGGTATTTTTTCTTGTACCCTTTCGAAGGGCATACTATGAGTAAGGGAGTCTGACGATATTTCAGAACTTGATAATGTCCCAACTGATCTGTTGATTGGTTTGATTCTATAGGAACTTGAGCTAACTAACTTTCCATCACCAAAGTTATCACTCTTTCCATATTGAGCAAAGTAAGTTTTGTTGAAATTGTTAATGAATAACAGTTCAGGAGACGCCTTGACTCCCTCCTTTGTTGAGGCCCTACCTGATTGTGGAGAGGAGTAAACTGATGACGAGGTGGGACTCTGGCTCTTGTCTCTAGTATTATTACTGTAATTGCGACCCACTAAACTTTCATCTCTATGAAGAAGGCTGCCAAAAATGTCAGAAGGGTCGCTAAGCTGAGGTGATGGAAGCATACCTGATATCAAAGAAGCGTTGTGTTGCATTATATCAGTAGTATCGAGTGATGTCTCACGGTTATACTCTGGATTAAATTTCTCAAAATCTGAAGGTCTTGTCTTAGGGGAATATGATTTCAGATTGATTTTCGGGTGTGACCTTTCGTGAGATAAATTGAAGCTGTTATGAGATAGTCTATACTGAATCTTGGCTGCTATGGTTCTTCTGAGTAAAACTTCCCACAAGAGTCTCCTATTGACATTTTCCATCTCTGCTGATGTTAATAATCCTTGATCTGAACTGTCATCATAAACTTCATTAAACTTAGGTGCCACGTTAGCTTTTCTATTGAAGACAGTATCCTTGTATCTCGCGAATGCAGCCTCAACTAAACTAAAAGATTTGCTACTTCGTTGATTTCGAGGATAGCTCTGGGTATTATTTTCTTTCAAAGTTTCATCATGGGGATGTGTGATAATTTTGGAGCTGACATGATGTGGAAAGACTTCGAAGTCAACTCTATTAAGAAACTGAATCCTAGCCTTCATGTTTTTAAGGACTGGCTGGATATTCATAAGTCTGGCATATTCGAATAACTGAACGTATTTGGGAAGCATTTCTCTTTGTAAATATTCAACTTCATTATGGGCCCAAAAGGATTGTAGATCTTCAATTGTATTAAATTTTGAATTTATCAGATCCAATGGTCTATATTTCGGTCTTCTTTTCAACGACGTCTTTCTCTTTACAGGGAAGCTAAACTTTAAAGCCTTTTTTGGCTTTCTAGACTTTCCCAGTTCATCATTTTGATCACTGATTAAGTCTTGTTTCTTGACCATGTGGTTTCGTTCTTTTATGTGGTTTCTATTCCTAACTGAAGCAGATCTTGATATAATAGACCCCGTAGTCTTTACATTCGTTCCTTGATCGAGTATATTTGCTCGTGCTGGGTATTGTGAGCGCCTATTATCTTCATCTGTATGTGTCTTGTTTCCAAATTTGGTCGTAGGTGGCTCGGCAGGTAGCTTATTGATATCTTGATGTGCTGAGTAGGGTGCTCCATAAATTATATTAAATGGATTTGTTGGATCCCGATGTCTTGGTTGGTACTTTTTAGGTTCATAAAACCTATTAGTCGAACTTCCCAAAGATGATTTAGAGCGAAAGGCATGCTCCAAAGCACTATAAAAGGACCCCAGTGAAGGCGATTCTAATACCTCTGTCATTGTGCCTCAATAGTAGCTCACGTCTACCTTTTCTTTTGAAAAGGGTTCTACTCTTCTTATAAATGAGCTTGATAGAAAGGATTCTACTAATACTACTGCCTCAGTGTCAATTTCCTCTTTTGACATTATGCTAGCCATTTAAAGTACCTCCTTTCTTCTTTTCGACCGTTGAGTAGCTGTTAAAGATGGCTGGTTGCTTAAGTATTTCCAGATCAGGAATATGCGGCTCGGTTTGTTTCTGAGGAGATCAATTTTCCCATAATCCGTCTTTTGTTGTTAAATACAATATTTGGGCTTTATCAGGAACAATAAAACTACATTTCTAGTGGCGTCGTCACTGTTTCGTTCTCAAGACAAATCTGTACCGTTGCCTGGCCTAGAATGGAGTTGTTTTTTTATTGACGAGCTCAACGCGAAAGTTAACTGCGATCTATAAGTTAGGCGAGGGACAAATCACACTTTTTTTTCCTTCGAAAAGATATTCAGTGTAAATTCTAATAAATCATCAATTGGAGCTCATTCTGTAGTAGATTTAACAATGGACAAACTTAAGGAAGTAAGTATTTTTAATAAAGATGTTATCTTATCGATTGATTGATGGATCTGGCATTTGATATTGCAACGTGTTATTGGCTGATATGAGATACGAGAGGTCAAAAGTACTTTTAATAGAAGCCGCGTTGTTCTAATAGGATTTGAGCTTAGCGGCCAGACAAACAGTCCATCGATACGCTGATGCGTGAGCATGACTAACTAGCTCTTAGAAAATCAATAATTTGAAGTTAGACGCCGAAAAGTGGCAAGAAAAGTCTGATGATTTGGGAGATCGGATCAAGGAATTGGAACAAGAGAATATGGATAAGGATCACCAAATCCAGTCTTTGACTAGAAAGAACCAAGTATTGGAAGAGCAAGTAGAGAAATTGGAGACTGACCTTGAAGAAATTAAACAGACTGCTGAAGAGTCGCACTCGTTGAAGACATCTAACGAAAATTACACGAAGAAGAATCAAGTTTTGGAAGAGGACTTAGAAGAAGCTGACAAAAATTTGAAGGAGACTACTGAGAAGTTAAGAGAAACCGATATTAAAGCAGAACAGTTAGAAAGAAAAGTCGCTTCTTTGGAATCTGAGAAGGAAGAATTCGAGAAGAAATACGAAGACTTATCTGAGAAATACGCTGCTGCCAAGGCTGAATTAGAGGAGATCAGTCAACAATTGGAAGCTATTTGAGATTAGCATATCGTTGTCATTCAGTATATGTTCCGGATGCTTTGATGCTATTTCAAGCATTTATGAGATCTTTTTTTTTATGAAAAAAAAAAAAACAAAAACATATACTCTTTAGTTGTTATCTTTCTATTAATAAATACTTCTTATACTTATATCCAATTCAATTAAGATTGGTTCTTTAAACGATAACTGTAAAAAAAAAAAAAAATTTAAGTGTAGAAGCCGAGGCTTTTGAGTTCGATTAGTAAAATAATTGTCTTCATCATCTTAGATATATTATTTTGCGGCGTGTCATTGATACAACAAGGCTGAAAGTAGCCCATATTCTGAAGCTTTGTGTTGTTAAGTGATAAGCAGGAGAGGCGAATTGCACTTGGAGTACATTTCATGCCTTGCTTAATCTGGCACAGTTTTAAAAAAGGGAAAAAGGAACAATGAATGAAAGAAGTGGCGAAGAGCTGACAGTGACATCTATAGACAACTCCCAGAATCCACTGGTGGTTTATCGGGAGAGAGATAGCTCAAGAGGTTTGTCGGGTCCTAATGATGTATATGATACAATACCTTCATATGAGACATCGCAATGGTTGCATGAACAACAGCAAAGGGAGCAAGAGGCAAGCACTTCATTACCTGCTTCAACTAATATATCAGCAAATAGCTCTATAGCTACAGGAGTAAACAGACTTAGTGAAGGTGTTCTCTCGATGTCTGTTCCAACCTCTATGGCACACACAAGAAAGGCCGAGATCAAGAGGTCTTTGAAGCAAATAGGTTTGAAATCCTTGAATGCAAGGCAGCACTTTGCATTGGCGTGTTCTCGTGATCTCTCTTTGATACCTTGTTTCATTGGTCTACTACAATCCTGGAAAAGGGTGTTCGCACCAGATGCAACAACTAGAACTCAAATATTACACTCCGTGACTTCAGCGAGAGCATCAGAGCACTTTTTAACTGGCCTATGGTGCATTGTTTCAGCATACTTGTCTTACTCTGTACTTGACGGTTTGATGATAAGATGGATAGTTGAATATCTGACCACGGCTGCAATTGTACGAATGCTATCAATGTCTGCAATTATCGTTTCGACAGAGCAGTATCTTTTAGCGACCTTCTCTGCAGATGGCTATAAGTATGGATTACATATATGGATCCTAATAAGCTGCTGTCTAACACTAACATATATAGTTCAAAATTTTGTCACTTCAAACTTGGACTTAAAAGGAAAAAGAAGAGCAAGGTTTTTTGACTTTTACAATATTGCTGTATTTGCTGTTGTTCCTGTAGGAATAGCGAGCTTTATAACAATGATTGGACTTCTACGATCGTTGCTTATTCTCCGATTAGACATTGACCAAAACGGTTTATCATGATACCCTCTCACTGTGGGCAGGCTCACCCAGTATATCTCAATGTAAGTTAGCTTAATTAATAATTTTTTTGCTCAAGCTTCTCTTTTGCAATGTCCTTAAATATAATACGTCATATGAATTTCAATATTCTTCTTTCTTTAATGATAGAAAATAGAGAGTGCAACCATTGGTAATGGTTTTGTGTTCAGTTCTCAAATCGAAAAATTGAAACATAAAAAATTGAATTTAAATGCGGTTTAAGTATTAACGAGTAGGGAGCTATGGGTGTACATATATTTGGTAAAGCTATCAAACATAATGCTCTTGTGAGGGTAAGTGAGCTTAACCACCTACGTTTTCAATTATTTCTGATACTAACTTTGTTAAAGATTGGATTAGCGAAAAAGATTTTTGGAGTAGGATATGAAACAGCTGAAAAAATTTGTGCTAAGGTGGGTATTTACCCTCAAATGAGAATGAATCAGTTGTCAGAGCAACAAGTAATGGCAATAAATAAGGAGCTCTCTGATCTATTAATTGAGGGACATTTGAAGCAGAAAATTTTGGATGATATTAAATTGAAACGTTCGATAGGATCATACGCTGGTTCAAGACACGCGGCGGGATTACCTGTGCGTGGACAGAGAACTAGAAACAACTCATCTACTGCAAAGAGACTAAATAAATTAGACCGGTATCTTTAAGTGTCTACAAGGAAGACAGAACAGGATCCAAAGGTAATCTTTATATCTCAGTTAAATCATGTAAATAACATAATGTATTGAAAAGACTAAGTACTTTCCGTGTTCTGATAGCTATTAAGAGCTAACAGGTTAATCGACCTTACCTAAATGAACAAAGAAAAAATTTTGGACGAGTCCGGAGTCGAACCGGAGACCTTTCGCATGCTAAGCGAACGCGCTACCAACTACGCCACACGCCCCAAAATAAAATGGTCCCTAGCAGGATCGAACTGCTGATCTTGGTGTTATTAGCACCACGCCTTAACCAACTAGGCCAAGGGACCGTTTGTGGATTATGTAAAGTATCTGTCTTATAAGTACACACGATGTAAAGAGTGTTGGAAAAGTATATAAGCGCGAGATACTCCCAATAGTAGAAGATCACATTCTACTAGGGATTCTAAGTAGTAGCACACTATACATAAGCTTAGAGTAGTCAATTATTCAATAGGACACATAAGTACGATGTTAACCCTTTAAAAGAACTCTCTATAAACCACGCGAATGGTATCGTCGTGTTCGAGAAGATTGTGGAAGTACTCAAAAGACTATATTATGCTTCATGAAGCTAGTGCTATGGTCTGCCGAAGGGCTTATAAGAGAAACAATTCTTGATCGTTTACTACTAAATTCTTAAGGTCATCTGATTTACAAGAGGTGGTATCATCGTAAATTAACACGGAATGGTGCTGTTATCATACGGATACGTTTATTAAACTTTAGTCGCACTATCAAGAGTACATAAAACTTCAAAATAGTGGCTATTTATACTCTAGCGTACCAAGAAAGCTGAAGGTTTTGCGCGGTAGGGCTCCTCGAGGTATTTAACTTGTTCATCAGTAAGCTTGATATTTGCCATCTTTACAATAGAATCAACCGCGTCCTCCAGAGTGACACCTATTATTGGGTGTGCTCCCTTAGCACGTAACCAGGCGGAGGAGACTTCAACCATTTCACACCCGAGCTTCTTGCTTAATTCCTCAACTCTGTTAATGATTACTTTGTCTTGTTCAATATCGAGTCCCAAAATTGTAGTAATTATATTATTTTTCAACTTTTCTTGAGTCTTCTCCGAGTTGAAAGGAAGGGCAAGTAAACCTCTCGCATTTGGTGACCATGGTATTAAACCAACTCCAGTTTTGTTACAATACTCGTTAAGTTCCCGTTCGTCTTCCCGATAAAGCAAATTGTACAAGCTCTGCATCGAAATAAATTTATGCCACCCGTGTATCTCTGCTGTGTGTTGCAACTCGATGAATTGATACACTTTCATTGATGATGAACCAAGATACCTGGCCTGCCCACTTTCAACAACATCATTTAAAGCACGCATTATCTCTTCCTTAGGAACATCTTCGTCTAATCTGTGGATCTGAAGCAAGTCGATGTGAGTTCCTAATCTTTCTACCGAACCCTTAACAGCGTCAAGAATATGTCTTCTAGATAAACCTCTATGATTAAAGTCTAAGACATCCGGGTCTCCTCCCTTAAAATCGACCGCCGAGAAGTAGCATTTAGTCATAATAACCACATCCTCTCTCGGGATATTATAATGCTTCAAGAATTTGCCAATTATTCTTTCGCCGCCGCCATTAGTATAAGCATCAGCAGTATCAAAAGTACGCAAACCCTCGTCATAGCATTTCTTCAATATTTTGAGCGATTCGGTCTCTCCTACTTCTCCCCAGCCGACACCATCCTTAACATCCACTGTTAAGAGCATAGTGCCGACAACTGCATGGTTGATCCTAAGACCAGATTTTCCAAGTTGACTGAGAGTAGAGTTATTGAGAACCATGATTAATTATTATAACAGTGATTCGTAGTTATCAAACGTATTCATTGTCATCAAGGTGGTGATGCTAGTCAATTTATACTGGATTATTCTTCCGGACTTTTCGGAGAAGAATTGTATCTGACAAGTACTTTCACGGAAATAAGGTAGTTATCGGAGTAATAGAATTATGTCTGATAAATGTCTCCAGAGAAATGTCGTTTATGTCTTGTTAGAATTGAGAGTACATGCTATTTGCAGCAAAAGCTTAACTCATTAGTTGCTGGTGATAATATATGAAGGGCGGCCCAAATTATATCTGACAAATGTCTCCCATGGAAGCTCGCATCGTATATGAGCTATTCCGCATCTCTTTATTTTTGCCAATTTCACTAGGGATTCTAAGTAGTAGCACGCTATACTTAATCTTAGAGTAGTCAAGTGTTCAATAGAACCATCTAAGTATGATAGCAGCCCTTTAAAATAACTCTCTATAAACCACACAAATGGCATCATCGTCTAGATTAAAGAATCAGAATAAGCCATGAGCCATTCAAGTACCGAGACAATATCCTTAAAGTCCTTAAATGCTTTAAGTCGCAATTTTCTGGAAGGCAAAGCAGGAGCTTAAAAATAGCTCCTTACAAAGGAAACAGAGATTATAATGTAATTGAATAACTCATAAATAAAATCTATAGAATAATCGAACGCTTTAAAGTGCCTGAAAGACAGAAAATCAGTACCTGCAAGAAACATGAGAGGAGAAGCACTAAAATGGTATATGGCAATAAGTTTCGAAAAGACTTTCGTCTTGGCCAATTATCTCAAGTTTCATCTGACGGATTTGGGAAGGAGAAAGATAACCAAACGTTATCGATGACTTCATGTTAATTAATTATAAAAACGAGGAACAATTAAAAATTGGTCTTGCTCATATTGGAGTCTTCTTCAAATGTATTCAGGTCATTTGAGCTCCCATTGCTTTTTGTTCGAGAAGATTGTGGAAGTACTCAAAAGACTATATTATGCTTCATGAAGCTAGTGCTATGGTCTGCCGAAGGGCTTATAAGAGAAACAATTCTTGATCGTTTACTACTAAATTCTTAAGGTCATCTGATTTACAAGAGGTTGTATCATCGTAAATTAACAAAGAATGGTGCTGTTATCATATGGATACGTTCATAAAACTTTAGTTGCAATAACAAAAATCAAGAGTACATAAAATTTCAAAATAATGGCTATTTACACTCTATCGTATCACGAAAGCTGGAGGTTTGGGGCGGTAGGGCTCCTCGAGGTATTTAACTTGTTCCTCAGTAAGCTTGATATTTGCCATCTTTACAATAGGATCAATTGCCTCCACCAGAGTAACACCAATTATTGGATGTGCTCCCTTAGTACGTAACCAGGCGGAGGAGACTTCAACCATTTCACACCCGAGCTTCTTGCTTAATTCCTCAACTCTGTTAATGATTACTTTGTCTTGTTCAATATCGAGTCCCAAAATTGTAGTAATTATATTATTTTTCAACTTTTCTTGAGTCTTCTCCGATTTGAAAGGAAGGGCAAGTAAACCTCTCGCATTCGATGACCATGGTATTAAGCCAACTCCAGTTTTGTTACAATACTCGTTAAGTTCCCGTTCGTCTTCCCGATAAATCAAATCAATTTATGCTGGATCTTTCTTGCCCGGAAGAATGGTGGTCATTTCGGAGAAGACTTATATCTGACAAATGTCTTTCACGGGAGAAGGTACGTTATCTCCTTATGTCTGACAAATGTCTCCAGAAAGCTCGCGTCGTATATGTCTTTTTTCGCATCTCTGTATTTTGCCAATTCTACTAGGCATGATAGTAGCTCACTATACATAAGCTTAAAATATTCAAGCATTAATAGGATTCATCTAGGTACATTAGAAACCATTTAAAACAACTATTAGAACTCTCTATGAGCCTTACAAATGGCTTTTTTTTGTAACTTATAAACAATTATAAATTAAATTGGCTTTTCCTTCTTCTCAAAGCATTTGTCTTGGCCAGCTTCAAGACTATTAACGAGAAATGAATATACTTCACGCTCTACTGCGATCACGAGTAGATTTCACTTTTGCAAGGTGCCAATGTCAATGCTCTATTAAAAGAAGGTGGATTCATTAAGTCGTGGGGGGGTCAATTGACATCGCGTATAAGGGAAGTATCGATACACGCCATTAATTAACATAAACATTATAATATAAAGCTAAGTATAACTAGTTGAACTTTTAAAAATTAATCAAGTATTCTGAAAATGTTGAGAAGTATTCGATCATTTTCATCCAGCTCTCTTAGAGCCTCCTTCGCAAAGATGCAATTGTTAGGCACAGTAGGCAACGTTTCTTATCGTGAAACAAGGGACGGTATAAAATTTATTAACTACTCATTGGCAGTTAACAAGTATGCTCCAAATGAGGAGACCGGTACTACCACTGATTGGTATAATATTTCCGTATTTAATGAACGCCATGTTGCCAGTTTTGAAAAGTTTTTGAAACCAGGAGTTCAATTATTTGTTGAATGTGACGCCAGGCAAAGAGTCGTGGTTGATGAAAATACAGACTCTAAACACACATTGACGAGCTTGAAACAAACTAGCTTTGATGTTGTAAGGTTTGCTAAAAAAGATGAGAACGCTGAAGAAACAGTAGATGCTTAATTACTGTTTGCGGAATGATATCTGTTACAAAAATTTTGTTCAATATATTTACGTATATTTTTATATTTGATTAAGAATACTTAATGTAAGTTTGTGGCTAAGCCTAATTCGTAAGCATACGCCGTGGTGAGTTTGACATGTTCCCGTATGTGGTTCCAATCAAGCCTGTCGATAGTATCCATAGCAGAATGGATATACTTACTAACATACTTGAATTCACTTTCAATTACAAATCCTGAAGGATACCCATTTTCAAGAGCTGATGAATGATCAGAACATGCATACCCACAAGATGTTTCATGATATGTAATTGAAAGATAACTATCAATAATCAATTTCAAAAAATTATTCAAATTAACAGTAGTATAATCAGTAATTAATCCAACATGGGGCTCGATACCAGCATCAACTGTGGAAGCAGTATACCCTGTCATATCTTGTTGTAACATTCCAAGTACAACTTCATTATTGGCAGAGTAACTTGTGAATACATCTAGCGAACCTAATAATCCGCCTTCTTCGGCAGAGTAAAAGTGAAACTCTAAAGTATTTTTGGGAACAAAGCGACCAGCAACATACTCTTCAACTATAAGCCTTAGTGATTCTAATAGAGTGACCGTGCCAGAACCATCATCATCTGCACCGGGTGCCTTCATAAGGTTAGGAAATATTAGATTTGCTGAATCTTGATGAGCACCAGCTATGACTTTGTCAGTCAGCTTACCAATGATGGATACAATAATTGAGTATTGATCCCAACCATTGTGATGGAATTTTGTGATTTTTGCATTGTTGTCTAGAGGTTGAATTATAGTCGATAAGGTTTCATAAAGCCAATCGGCACTTTCAAGTCCAGTTTTTGATTTATAGTATCTAGTATAAAAAGATGTAAATTTGCTCAAGTTATTGAACATTCTATCCGTGTCAATTCGTTTGAAAATCTTCGTTACTTCTTCGAAATTATCAACTGCAGTTGGATAGTTATAAACTGGAATTTTCTTCTCTAAAAATGACACTTGCTTTGACCCAAAGGAGAAAATTCGAGTAAGAAATGGAGTTTTTGGGTTTTGAACTATCCCCTGTTCAATAGCATCTTCTATAGGAATGTGATTAGTTACATCAATAAAATTGACATTTCTTCTTTTCAAGGAAAGCTTATCATTTTCATTGATTATTTTATATTCTTGGGGTCCTAATTTGATTAACTTTTTCTCATTAGACTCCTCTAACCCCTTAAAGAAGGGTAAGGAAGCCGCAAGACAAATAAAGAACGATGAGTATAATAAAATTCGCATAGCTATAAGGTATAGATAAATTGTATCAGGAGGCAACTCAATTTTTCGATGTGCGCTCTCTCCTGAAAGTCGTCTATGGATAAGCATATCTAGTAACCCAAAAAAGAAAGGATATTAGTTTTAGTCAATATTAGGTAAATACAATGGTTTCAGGATGAAGCATCATCAGGGTGAGAAGATCAATAGTCCTTTTCCAATTAAGGACTGTGGAAATGACCATGTTAGTTAGAAGTTTAAAGTTTCATCTTATTTTTTGTTTAAATGCTTAATAGTCTTGGAGGCATTAACTCATCGTAATTGACTACAGTGTGAGACACTGCAAGCCATATAGAAGATATCTTGGATTGAATTTAGGTATTGTAAACTTTGTTTCTAATTTATCAAACTTTTCGCAACAATTACAAAATTTCATTCAAGTGGTACATTAACTTAATATAGAAAATAGGTGAATTTAAACAACTTGATATCGCATGAGGAACCTTTTTTCATAAACAACTCAAAAGTCTTGCTCAAAAGCCCTAATTTCTATCAGTTTATTTTTTCTAATCGTAGTCTGTGAGCGTTCTGCGGGATACGGACTTCCAATAACCAAAAGAATAGCCTTGGAGAGTAAAAAGTGGCCAGTTAAAGCCTCTCAAGTTTTTATTTGATACCCAAAAATAGCTTACAATTCAGCGAGATACGAGATATTTTATCTAAGACTTAGTTCATACCTTCAGACAGCTAGTTCTGAACTCTATAGACACGCCATGGTAACGTGAGCGCTGAAATGATTACTGAGCATGAAGTTGCGCATGTAAGAGAAGAATGTTATCGTCAATTTCGCAGCCTGCTTGTGCCATGACTACTTCTGTGGCCCCTCGTCCATATATTACTCTTTCATAGGATTTTGTATCTCGGACGAAGCCTATTTAAGTCAAATTTGCAAGAAATATAGAAAGTCGTGTACAACATACGAACATTCGAATTTTCATAAACAACGCTAGACAGAGTACTTGTTGTTATCACACACTAGTCTTCAGGAAATCGTTGTCTCATCACCTCAGAGCCAGAGAATGTCCATTAAATCAACGCGAGGTCCTAACAGTGGTAACTCAAATGAGGGAACGAAATTGATTTCTCCGTCATTAAAACTTGAGGACCCTGGTTTGGATTCTCTACAATTTCAAGAAGAAAAGAAAGCTTCAGCTAATGCCACAAGAAGTAATTTATCCCAAAGGTTCTTACACCCCCTATCATTTGACTCCGCAAAAGAAGTCAACTATAAGATTAATGTGCCAAATTTCACTAATTTACCTCCTTTGGAATTGGGGTTTAAGTATATCACTAACTTGACTAGAATTGACGCTCTCACTCCATCAGATTTATATTCAGATGAGAACATTAATAAATCGGGAACGGGCTTGGATAACTACTATTTTTATTACGAAAAGGGTTTAGGAGAGTTCTCCAGGTTTGAAAAAATTGAACAGTTAAATTTACCTGATAAATTTTTTGATGAGCATAATACAACTGAATCTGTGACAAAAATCGGATTGTTTCCAGAAATCGATAGAGCTTGGATAGCAGTGGACAACAAATTGGTTCTTTGGAATTACAAAGTTCCTCAGTCATCCTTCAACAGTAGCACTCAATTTTTAACTATCGATCAAATTAGGCACTCAATATTGGCTGTCAAGTTAGTTGAGCCAAAAGCAGGTGTATTCGTAAAAGAAGTCAATTATCTTTTACTTGTTTCGACCCCTTTGGATGTGTACATTTTCATCGTAAAATACAATAAAAATTTGAATAACTTGGAAATATTTAATCCTGAATTATCAGTTTCCACCCAAGGTCTAACAATAAATAACTTTGCTATAAATCAAAAGACAAAGGACATTTATTTTAGTGGAGAAGGTGGTGGAACTGATATATGGAGATTAGACTATTCAAATAAATCTACGTTCAGCAAAAACAGATGCGAGAAAACCTGCTTAACAAAAGGAGGTCTTCAAAGCGTTTTACCACTCAATAAGCTCCCGGGGCTCGACTTATTCAATTTTTCAGACAATGGTGGAGATAAGAACTCTATTGCAAGTAATATCCCCGAGACTGTACACCAACTAGCTGTTGATCCTGAGCGGGATGTATTGTATGCTTTATCTAATAAATCAGTTATAAGAGCTTATCTGCTACAAAAGAATCAGGAACAGTTCACTCAGCATAGTCAGATTACACCTGCAGAAATATTCAGAAGCGTTTCAGCCATGTTTGTCGATTCACAGAATTTTAAGGCTTTTCTGAAATTTAGAATAATGAACATTCAAGTCATTTCACCTTCAGAATCTGCGAATATTCAATTAATAGCTATAACGAATTACGGATATCGTATCTTACTTAAGCTTGGTACTCCATCTTCGTTTTCTTTCATGACAAGCTCGCTGCATGCATCGAAAGTTAAGCTTTCAGTTGCCACGATTAAGTTTCCACCGTCTAGAGACCTTCCAAAAGTCAATCCAGAGTTAGATTCTTTTACCAAAACAAAGCAATACATGGCTCAGTTGGTAGCTAATCAACAGAAGTCACAGCTATTGAAGAATACCAAGTTTAGTAAAATTATTAGTCCAGGTATATTTTTATGCGTCAAAAGAACGAAGAAATCGGATAAGCTTTTCGTCTGCACAACCAATTACGGGTTTCTTAAGAAGAATAACAAATTAGTTGAGGATGCTGAATTCATTAAGATTGGGCCTTCAGACGACACATGCCCTACATATATTCACGATATTGTTCAATTATCACCGTCAATGAACGCAACAAATACCCCAAATGGTTATGCTAACATTATGGCGAGTCAGTATACCAAAGCACCGTTAAAATTTGCGGTGCTAACAAACTTTGGTATGCTTATATATCAATTTAGGACGTCAGATCAGATATTAAAACCATTGCATGAGGAATCAATCGAAAATTTTATTGAAGAAAATGGTTATGAGGAAACCTGCTCAACTTTGCTATATCTATCCTGCTCATATGGTCATCGCAGCTCCAATGATTTAATGAAAAGAAGGGCCCAAATGTTGTTCTCTACGTGCGGTAGCAACCCGAGATTTTTAGAAAACGCACAGCAAAATACCGCGTCGGCTCCTGCTGCTTTACCTCACCACCAACAATTAGTGAGCATTGGGAAGCCAATTGAACCTCAATTAGCTGATGATCAAGTCGTTTTGAGTGACAGATTTTATGGTACCTGTTTATTGATATCACGTTTGTTCAGAGACTACTGGAATAGAAAAGTATTTGTTCCGTTGCCACATATAAAGATAACTCCAACTGGTCAACTTGAGAGGTCCTCCGTGAAAGATGACAATTTGCTAATAAAAGGTATAAATATCAATAAAAAACAGGTTGAATTTTTCATTGGTTCAGTTATTGTTTTACTTGACTTTTTTGTTGAAAATGGGAACAATATACTCGGACTAAATGCGCCAAACTATAGTACTGACCCGAGTAAATTTGAAAATGAGGTCAGCTTGAGAGCCGAGCATATTGCATTTACTTCAATTTTGAAGTCTCTCAATTCTATAAAGGAAGGGCTCTCTTTCCTCATGGTTTTGATAGAAGAGACTGAAATCAATCAAACGAATTTCAACGATATCATCAGCTTTTTGTCGCTAACCAACCAATTAAACTTATTAACCCTAAGTTTTAAAGATCTCTTGTTACCAACAAGAGATGTCAAGGATTTAGTTAAAGATTTGTTATCCTCGATAATTAACAAGAACATTTTAAAAGGAGGTTCCATTGACTTAATAGCTGCTTCTCTTCAAGGTCGTTGTGGCTCATTCTGCTCGACAGATGACGTTTTCATATTTAAAGCCATTGAAAATTTGACTAAAGCGAAGAGTATCGGTTTAAGGGATAACGAACTAAAAATTAAGTGTCTTAATAATGCTGTTCATTTATTTGAAGAGGCTTATGAATCATTGACGTTAGAAAATATTGAAAACTCAGTGAATATAATGTTGGATCTTGAATTTTATACGGGAGCTGTTCAGTTATTGTTAAAACTTTCGTCAAAGCTTGGAGCAATCTCAAATCCTAACAATGCCTCGAGCGGAAACCAATTTGACACATATGTGACTGCGCTTGCGATATCGAATGGATCTAACAATGCAAAGAACGTTGAAAATAACAAAAAGAAAATTGAACTCTATGAGTTGATTTTTAAAACCTTGACCAAGGTTGATATCAAGGCCATCCAAATTACAGAATCAAATGATCAATTGATGATCAATGAGTTTATAGAAATAAGAGACTCGACCTACGATACTTGCTTTGCTTCCAAGGACAAGTCTTTTCATTACGAATTTTATCAGTGGTTCATTAATCAAGGTGTAAGCGAGAGGCTAATAGAAATCGACACTCCCTACATTTTACCCTTTTTAGAAGAAAAAGCAGAAAACGACCTCGCAATGAGTGATATTTTGTGGTTATACCATGCCAAAAGGGAAAACTATTATGCATCTGCAAATATCCTATATTCACTTTCAATCTCTGAATTCAAGTTAGATTTGAACAAGAGAATCGAATATTTATCTAGAGCTAATGGATTCTGCAATTGTGTATGTCCTCCAAACTTGAGACAGAAAATGATACAGTTGTCATCAATAATTCAAGAATTTTTAGAAGTAGCAAGTGTACAGCTTGATATATTATCTGCTATCAAAGTTGACAAACGGATCAGTAAAGACAATAAAGAGATAGCAGTATCATCCTTAAATTTCAAAATCTTAGGAATAAGCGAACTTTTCAATTCCTATGCAGATCCCTTGGGCTATTATGATTTGTGTTTAGTCATCTTCAAAACGGCTGATTATAAAAATACCGATGATATTTTGAAAAGATGGGAGCTCTTTTTCGAGAGATTATTTCACGAGTTTTTGATTCATAAGTCGAGAGATGAACCTTTCTACATTAAAGTAAGTAACGCTCTTACATCTATTGGTGCAAAGTTATCATCGAACGATCTAGTCTTCCCAGTCGACGAATTAATGGGTTTAGTAAGCAAATACATCCAAGAAGCTATCGAAGAGGATCCTATCACTCAAGAGCCTCCCAAAGGTGCAATTGTTGACATGTTCATTAAGTCTGGCGTTACTTATGATAAGTTATATTACGTTATGAAGTCCTTAATTGAACAAAATACATCTGAAGTATATCCAGGATTCAATCACAATTTGAAATCTAGCGAAATGGTCTATTTGATTCAACGTTGGTACAATTCTGATAGCAAATTGAGAGAACTTATTCCGAGCGAAAAGATCAGAAGAATGCAAGATTATTCAGTTAATGATGATCCGATTAACCAATTTGTTAAAGATAATGGTATCTTGATTTGATTGGTCCCATCAGTTATTAGAAAATATATAATGCATCTTTTAGCTCAACTCGTAGAATGATTCCTTTTGAGAATCAAAAATATCCTTACCGAAAAAGCCATCGTTACCAGGGCGTAAGTAATTTCCAGTAGTACTCGGGATATACATACCTTCAGGATCGGCCCTACTTGCCAAAAATTGGATCATTCCGTCTACAATTAAGCGAACTGCATTAGTCTCTGCTCCATTGGGCATTATGACATCAGCAAATTCTTTAGTAGGGAATATGAAATTTCTCATCTCTATTCTAGCCCCTTGCAAATATCCATTTATCACACTTTCCAAGCTTTGAGTGCCATTGACTACATCTCGCCTAATCCACCGAACCAATCTCGTATCCGGATCGCTAGAAATGAATACCTTCAATTGGGACATACTTCGAAGGGCCTTATCGTATAGTGCATAAAGACCGTATATTAAGTATATCTTTTGCTTTTGGTCGCCCGGTGTTTCTCCGTGACTCAGTAACTCTTCTCTCAATTTATCAAATCGAAACCTAGAAGGACGAAATTGAGAAAACCTATTGGAATCTCCATAAGATATCGCTGAATGTTCCAGCTTTTTGGAGCTATTATCATTACCGTCAATAGCCTCTTCATAATCAGAGAGATTTATTGTTATTACCTCAATCATGTCAGATGGTATCGTAGAATGTAACTCTTTCACGAGCAAACTGACAGTGGTAGCCTTTCCAGAAGCATGCCCACCTCCAATGAGCACTATTACAGACCTATTTTGTGTATCAGACATCTGTGGGCTCGATATCTCCATCTTTCATCAATAAAATTTAATCTTTTTTCATATCGCATCGCAAAATAGTAAATTTTCATTCTTATCAAGAAGTAGCCTTATTAAGTTACAAAAGACATTATGGACGAGTTTGATAGAGAAGCAGACAATGAGTTAGAGTTTGTGGCAAGCTCTATAAAAAAAGTGAAAGTATATTCTAGTTTTGAAAGTATGAAACTTAAGCCAGAGCTATTGAAAGGAATATACGCATATGGATTCGAGGCACCTTCTTCTATTCAATCAAGAGCAATAATGCAAATAATATCAGGAAGAGATACTATAGCACAAGCTCAGTCTGGAACAGGAAAAACAGCAACATTTTCGATCGGAATGTTACAAGTTATAGAAACTAAATCAAAGGAATGTCAAGCATTAATATTATCACCAACGAGAGAGTTAGCTGTGCAGATTCAAAATGTCGTGAAGAATTTGGGAGACTACATGCATGTTCAAACACACGCTTGTGTGGGAGGAACTCATGTTGGAGAGGATATTAAAAAGTTGCAAAAGGGTCAACATATTGTAAGTGCAACACCTGGCCGTGCTTTGGATGTAATCAAGAGAGGCCATCTAAATGTCAGAAATATTAAGATGTTGATTTTGGATGAAGCAGATGAACTTCTATCCAAGGGTTTTAAGGAGCAAATTTATGACATATACAGACAGCTTCCATCGACCGTGCAAGTAGTTGTGGTCAGTGCGACCGTTCCCAGAGATGTTCTCGATATGACCTCTAAGTTTATGGCTAAACCTGTGAAGATATTGGTGAAACAGGATGATATATCTTTAGAGGGAATAAAGCAGTACTATATTCAGTGTGAGAAAGAAGACTGGAAGTTTGATACCTTATGCGATTTGTATGACTCGTTGACGATTACTCAGGCAGTGATATTTTGTAACACCAAGATAAAAGTTGATTGGCTTGCTGAGCAAATGCGCAGACAGAACTTTACTGTGGCATCAATGCATGGAGATATGAAGCAGGATGACAGAGATAATGTGATGAGCGATTTCAGATCAGGAAGTTCAAGGGTACTTATCTCAACTGATGTTTGGGCTAGAGGAATAGACGTACAGCAAGTTTCGCTTGTTATAAACTATGATATTCCGAATGACATGGAAAATTACATCCATAGAATAGGTCGGTCTGGGAGATTTGGCCGCAAGGGAGTAGCTATAAATTTGGCTACCAGTGAGGATATTGGTTTATTACGTGATATCGAAAGACATTATTCGATTAAAATCAGAGAAATGCCGGTTAATATTAATGATGTTATGTAGAGAAATAAATACATCTACTATTTCTTATATATTGCTTGTACGTTGGACATCTTTATTGCAAGAAACTAGAGCTAGCCTTGGCCATACCTTTCAAGGTTTGGCACGTGATCGCATCTCTACTTAATTTTTTTTCAACACCCTTTGATTGATTGTTGGTAGCCGCTCTTACATTGAAAATCTAGCGTATCTAAAGGATAAGGAAGATATTAGCTATGGATTCTCAATATATCACCTCGTTAGAGGCAACTTTAAGACAAACATTGGTGCCTGACTCTTCTGTTATCAAGCAGGCGTCTTCGAAGCTTAGTAAGGACTTCTACCCTAATCCTTTAGCACTTCCATCATTATTACATATCTTGCAAAATGCTGAAGATGATCAGTTGAAGCAATTGGCCGCAGTTGAGGCAAGGAAATTGGTATTAACTAAATGGGAATCTTTGGATCAGTCATTAAAACCTACTATTAGGGAGGGATTATTGAATAGTGCGTTCCAACAACCTTCAAAGCTCATAAGGCATTCCTCAGCCAGAGTTGTTGCAACTATTGGTGAAGTTGATTTAGGAGATCCAGAGCGTAACCAGTGGCCGGAATTATTACCCACGTTAGTGAAGGGAGTACAAGACCTGAATCTTCAAACGAGAGAAATGGCAGTATACACCTTATTCACCCTTTTGGAGACTCAAATTCCAGCATTGGTTCCACATGTCGGAGATCTTTTAACTTTATTGTCTAGTTTGCTTCATGACCCAAGCTCTAGGGACATAAGGGTCAATGCTGTTTTGTCTTTGGATGTTCTCTCTCAATTTATAGAAGAAGATGCCACTATTGATCAACAATTGGCATCCAAATTCAGAGAAGCAATCCCAGGAATGGTTGAAGTTCTCAAGGAGGTGATCTCCAACGACGATTCTGAGAGAGCAAAAGATGTTTTCAATGTGTTCAATAGTCTTATTTTTTTGGATTCCAAGTTAGTTGGAAATTATCTAATTGACTTGGTGAAGTTTATCACTGAAATTGCAGCTAACACTCAACTTGATGAAGAATATAGAACTTTTGCTTTGCAATTTTTGATTTCATGTGTATCTTTGAGAAAGTCCAAAATCATGTCCAGTAAATTGGGTCCCCAGATCACATTGGTAGCTGCGAAGATTGCGTCGGAGGAAGTTGACATCGACGATGAGCTAAATAATGAGAATGAGGAGAACGAAAATGAAGAAAATGAACCACCGTCTTTAGCTTTAAGATTGATTGCAATGCTTTCAGCTGAATTACCACCCTCTCAAGTTATTAATCCGTTATTTGAGAACTTGAATGCCATGCTTTCTTCATCAAACACATTTGAAAGAAGGGCAGGGTTATTGTGCATTGGAGTAGCTTCTAGTGGTGCTCCTGACTACTACTCTACTCAAATCAACAAATTAATACCTGTTTTGGTCAATGGATTGAAAGACCCTGAAATCATCGTCAGAGTGGCAGCTCTAAGGTCGTTATCACAGTTGACATCTGAATTACAAGATGTTGTTGCTGAATACTACCAGGAGCTTTTGCCTTTAGTAATTGATATAATTGATTCCGCAACCTCCGTTATGGCTTACAAATATGCCTGCTTTGCTTTAGATGGTTTGATTGAATTCATGTCTCATGATGCAATTGGGCAATACGTGGAACCTTTAATGAATAAGCTATCTCATATGTTACAACAAGCTAATTCTTCATCTTTGAAATCTGCAATTGTATCAGCCATTGGATCAACTGCGTATGCAGCTGGTAAGGCTTTTACTCCGTATTTCAATGATTCTGTTAAACTATTAGAACCATTTGTAGCAAATGCTGCCAATACAGAGGGTATGTCTGAAGAAGACATCGAATTAAGGGCTTTGACTTTTGAGAATATCTCAACAATGGCAAGAGCTGTTGGTTCTGAAGCCTTTTCCGCTTATGCAAAGCCTCTAGTGGAAGCTGCTTACACTTCTTTAGGTTCTGAACATTCCAGAGTCAGAGAATCTGGATTTGCTTTCATTTCTAATATGGCGAAAGTCTATGGACCGGAATTTGCTGGCTTTTTAGACCAAATCGTGCCTCAAATTTTGAAGTGCTTGGAACAAGAAGAGTTTACGTTCAATCTAGATGGAGATGACGAAGAATTTGAGCTTGATGAAAATGACGAAAATCTAGAGAACAAATTCAATGTTCATACTGGTATCACAATCGAAAAAGAAATTGCATCTGTTGCGTTATCTGAGTTAGCACTTGGTACTGGCAAAGAGTTCAATAAATATGTCGAGCCGTCGATCACCGTTTTGATTGATCAAATTGATAACTCCTATGGAATGAGAGAAGCATCTATGAATGCTTTATGGAAGATTGTTAGAGCAGTGTTTAAGGCCAATTATGGAGAAGACTTCAAGTATCCAAAAGGTGTTCCCCAACAATCTTATGTGGATGCCTCAATTTTGCAGCTTATCCAAAAAGTGAGAGAAATCACAATCTCTAACTTGGAGGAGGAGTTCGAGTTGACTATGGTGGCATGTATCTTAGATAATATAGCTGAAGCAATTTTTGCATTTGGTCCTATAGCTGTGATGAACAATTCAACGAGTACCGAGTCCTTGGAAAAGCTTTGTGTTCAACTTATGCAACTCTTAAAAAATGAACATCCCTGTCAAGCTGAAGATGAAGAAGGTCCAGCCGACGAAGAAGATTCATCTGAAACTGAAGCCTTGTTATTTGAGTCTGCCTTCGAAGTATTGGTTAATTTAGCTAACGCACTAGCCGGTGACTTCAATAGGATATTTGCATCATTTAAAGATACAATCATTAGTAATGTTAAAAGCAAATCCAAGAATAAACGTGTTAGTTCAACGGGAGCTTTGGCTGAAATTGCATCAGGTCTTAAAGAAACTAATCCATATGGAGAGGAATTATTGAAAGTATTTACAGAGAGACTTGCCAACGATAAATCTTTAGAGGTTAAGGGCAATTCTGCTTATGGTGCAGGTATAGTTATAGAGTATGCTACTTCAGATATGACGTCCGCATATCCTACTCTTTTACAGCTTTTGTTTCAATTACTTAGCCAGACTGACAAGAGGGCAGGCAATGCCGATGAAGAGGAAAGTAAAGATGTTGTGAACAGATCCTTTGCCAACGCTTGTGGTTGCATTGCGAGATTGGCTTTAAAGCACGAAAATGCTGTTCCTCTTGGACATGTCATACAACCTTTCTTGGACCATTTGCCGTTAGAAACTGGGTTCGAAGAAAATACTCCAATTTTCACCCTTATCATTAAGTTGTACGAGTCAAACAATGAGCTTATAATCAACCAAACTCAAAAGGTGGTAGAAATATTTGCGCAGGTCTTTGTTAAAGAGGCCGAGAGAATCAAATTGGTGAACGAAGCGACATTAGGAAGAGAAGAGAACATCGACAGGTTAAAGCAATTCCAAAATGACGGCATCAAGCAAAAAGTGATTGAGTTATTGAAGTATTTGGACACACAGTACGCAGGAATTGTTTCCTCAAACGATGTCTTGAAGTCTGTGATTTCCTAGGCTTCACTTCGTGGACTTTCAATTGACTTTTAGTTATTTTTTCTACTTTTTCATATTCCCTTGTAAGGTCTTAGATAAGATCTTATCTCTAAAGTTATTACTTTATATTGTTAACTTATAAATAGCTTGGTTTAATCGATAAGCAAATTTGATAAAACATAAATTTTGTAGTGATCTCTATCTATTTAAGTCATCTTCTGAGAAGCTGCAAAAAAAAAATATTCCCTATAAATGAATATCAACATACATACTGAAGAGAATAACCAATGTCTTAGGGACGACCCTCTATCCCCAGAAGATCAAAGATGAATGTTTCACAAGGTTAATGGAGTAAAACCAGTGAATAATTATTTCGCGTTTTACTTCTATTGTTTCAAGGAGTGTTCAAGTATATTTCCCATGATGATTATTATCGGTACCTCTCTTCCGATCTTTATTTTCCAAATGACAGACTTAAGTATACTTTCCCCCTTGAAATCTAAGTATAAAAATGAAAAGATTAAGCTTAATTAAGGATTCATTGGATATCCTATTCGCTAAATACTAGGGATTACCTTCATTAGGAGACAATGAGATGTAAAAGTTTGCGACTTATCGTAATACTTTTCTTATATCTCGGGCTAGGTTTTTGGATTCAACGTCTCTTTCACATAAAAAGACTTATAGATCCTGAAGCCTTGCTATTGAAAGCTTTGGAAAAGAATTTTTCAGCGGAATGGTCTACAAAGTACACGTCGGAGCTTCATTTGCCTGGTACCAATTTCAATCTCGCTGAATGGACGAAATCGAAATTTGAAGAATATGGGTTCAAAAGCACTATAGATACATACGAGGTATTTTTAAGCTATCCAAAAAATCAATCTTTGACCTTGATAGATGGTGAATCAACAGAGGTATTATTCAGAGCACTTTTGAAAGAAGATGAAATTGAAGAAGATAAAACTTCGCTTGGAGGTACCAGTTCTTTTCTCTCGTATGCCGCTAATGGGAATGTGACTGCAGAGTATGTTTTTGCTAACTATGGAACTATTGATGATTTCAATTGTTTAAAACTCCTCGGGGTTGAGATTAAGGGAAAAATTGCAGTCATCAGATATGGCAAGATTTTCAGAGGTTTGAAGGTTAAGTTTGCGCAAGAGAACGGAATGATTGGTGTTCTTTTGTATACTGATCCTAGCGAAGACTCGGGGATGACACCAAAATATGGGTACAAGCAATATCCTGATGGGCCAGCAAGACAGGAGAGCTCAATCGAGAGAGGTAGTGTTCAATTCTTTGGTGGAACTGATTCTGCACCAGGTGACCCTACGACCCCAGGTGTTCCATCAAAACCAGGTGTGGAACGCAAAACTCCATATAACTCTATAGGAACTATCCCTGTTCTCGCAATCTCGTATCGAGAAGTGACTCCTATATTGCTGCAACTAAATGGCCATGGAATAAGAATGAATGAATCAAATTGGCGAGGAGAACTAGATGAGTTTGATTATTGGACTGGGCCGAATACAGACAGAAAGCTAATTTTATTTAATGATCAGCATTACAACATTACTCCTATATGGAATGTTTATGGAGAGCTCGAGGGTGAGGCTAAAGATGAAGTCATAATAGTTGGAAATCATAGAGATTCTTGGACGAAAGGAGGTGCTGGTGATCCAAATAGTGGTTCAGCTGCTCTTATTGAGCTCGCGAGAGCATTAGGGCTGTTAAAAGATTCTGGTTTCAAGTTTCAGCGTTCAATTATATTACAGAGCTTTGACGGTGAAGAATATGGACTTTTGGGATCGACAGAACAAGGAGAATATTTTGCAGAAGAGCTACGGAAAAAGGCCGTCGCATACCTAAATATGGACGCTGCAGCACTTGGAACACATCTTAAATTAGGTTCGTCACCTCTTTTGAACAAAGTTTTGTATGAAAATGCAAAGAAGCTCCCCTATCCGAAAGAGGATCTGAGCACATTATACGATCATTTTTTGAAAGAAGCAAATGGTACAATAAAGATACTTGGTACGGGTTCTGACTATACAGTTTATTTGGAACATCTTGGGATTCCATCGTCGGATATTGAATTTGCACGAGGAAATGGAGACCCCATATATCCATACCATACAAATTACGATTCCTATAACTGGATGTCTAAATATGGTGATCCTGATTTCGTATTTCATAATTTAGCAGCCAAATATTTGGGTTTAATAACTTTAGATTTGGCCACGAGCCCTATCATACCCTTTTCATTATCTGACTATTCGTCCGAACTAATTGGTTACTTCAACGAAGTGGTCTCTCTTGTTCCTCGTAATTGGATAGGACGGCAGGTAGATAGTGCACTTTTTTGGAGTCAGATATATCAAAATCTAAACGAAGACTTATTAACCATCAGAGAAACAACTGGTAAATATTATAAAACAGGGCCTACAAAAACTATCTTTGAATTGCTAGGGTTTTCAACAGATAGTTATTCAAACCATATAGATTTTACATCTACCAGCAAAGATACAACCGTACAAGACCTATTAAAGATTACTGAAAATGACTTGCGTATTACTAATACCTTAAGTGTGTGTTTTGATAAGGAAGCTAGAAACCTAGAGAAAAAGACACAGACTTCAAGTAATCTACATTGGAGACAGAAGATTATGCTCAAATATAATATTAGGAAATATAACAAATTTCTTCAATATTTCGAACGAAACTTCATTTATAGTAAGGGCTTACATCGCAGAAGTTGGTACAAGCATATGGTATTTGCTAGCGATAGGAAAGCTGGTTATGACGGAATTGCATTACCTGGGTTGAAAGAGGCAATTGAAGATGAAGACATTGACAGATTCATTCAGTGGTTAGGTATTTTGTCTAGTAGTTTGAGAAGTGTGAACAGAAGTCTTCCTTGTCGTGGGGAAGTGTCAAATAATACTAGTTCCTTTGGCTTATCATGAGACGACTTTAACTTAGTTAGACAAATTTAGCTGTCCTAATAATCTTCTGCTAAAACAAAAACTAAATATAACTGTTGCGCTCTCTCGATCCAGTTGATAAGCCGTCGATTCTTGTTCGTCATTACTCATGAGAGGATTTATTCTCGGTATGATGCTGAGCGAATTAATACGAATTAAAGTGTGAAAAGAAATTCATATTCAAAGTAGCGTAATAGCTTCAACCGTTATGTATATGAAGTTCGAAGGGTCTATATAGAACTTAATTCGACCGTAAAGAAAATGAATGAATATACCTCTTTCATAATATACTTTCCTTGACATATACCAAGGTTGACATTATATATTTTAGACCCCCTAGTGGATATCTATGGGAGCAAAACATTACCTATCACTTCTGTAATTTCCTATTAGTTGTTCTTTAACATTTTATGAGATAAAGACATTCTCTATGGCAACTTTAATACTCTATTCTATAAGGATAAAATAGATCATTAGGTTCATGAGCTATCTTTATGCTCCATTTATAGTTGTTCTCTCAAGAAAGATTTAGACTCCAAATTATCGCATGCAGCTTGCCCCATAAAGTTATCAATGTTAAAAATGTTTCCCTCTGTAATAATTCCTACTGAAGCAGTTATTTTCATCTAGGTCACTTAGATTAGTATCATTTAAAAAAAGCCTTTAGTTCTAACATGCAAGGTTCAATGACCATATCAATATCATTTTTATCACACTTCATGGACTCACTGCCCAATTCAAATTCTGTGGAAGCATTAGAATACGATTTTAAAGCAGACCCATCTATCGAAGAAATAAAACTTTCAATTTTCAAAAGCTTTGCCTTAGCATTTGGATTTCCTTGAGATGTCAAGTGTTTTAAGATTTTCAAACAAGACTGGAAGTTAGTACAAAATTCTTCATTGGGTTCAAGTATCATCCCCATTGCAAAAGTCAATGAAGCACTATAGAGATAGTCTGGATCGAGTACTCCATGTATCGCTAAAGTTGTCTCTTCGTAGCATATGCTTAAAATATTAAAAGTGAGTACAGCTGCGTTGAAGCACACCGTTAAGACGGTCATTAAATCTTGCGAGAGGTCTTTGATAGACCACTTTTCTCCATTTTGGTTGCATGTAATCTGCTCAAGAACAAGTTGATACAAAACAGGCACTGTTGATAGATGAATCAAATAACAACAATTCAAGTGTACAGAATACTTCAATCTTTTCTCTTTTCCATCACCTTGCTTTCTCTCATGTAAATTTAACCTTAGATTCGCAGTTAAAGTCTTATTCCAATTCACCAATCTTTGAATTATTGTGAAAATTGGTTCCATAAAAGACTTTAGATTTGTCTCTCTTCCATTATCAGATGACCTTTTAAGATAAATATTATTAGTTATCTCTTCAGAGATTTTGGAAAGTTCAATATAATGTTTTAAATCATCTGAGTTAGGAAATGTCGATTTTGTACACTTTCCATCCCATGTAGAGAGCATCTTTGGATAAGGGGCAGTAATCTGGGATAAGTTCAAAATTAGGGGATGACCCAATTTGACACATAAAAATCTGTTTGAAGAAAAGGCTGACCACCATATTCGACATCGTTTCTCACATTCCACTTCGCTCAAGCCGTTGTATGAGGATCCTGAATGAAGTGCTAATTGCAAGGATAAAACTATTCCAAAATTGGAATACAATATCGCGTTACGATCTTCATTCACTGCTCTGAAATAGTAAGAGCATACGATAAAAACAACAACTAACTCAACATCATTAATATCCTTTATAGGAAAAATTTCACATATTCCAGACATGAAGAAGGGCAAACATGTTGTATCTTCTTTTGCATCAATATCTATATCCGCTTTTGGTTTAATACCAGTATAGTGCTGACCTAATCCTAGGAGGACGAGGATCAATGGCCTAAGCGAGTTGTTTGAAAGTTTGGAAAGTTGTAAGTATCCTTCCGAGCAGCACTCCTGGATTTTAGCAATTAGTTCCTCCAATTCAAAGGGAAGATAGATAGATGTCAAATAAAAATGTGTCTCTTCAATCATTTTAAAAACGAAATCAGTAGGTAACTTTCGGAGTAACTCATTAGGAATATGCACTTTTTGTTGTTCTCGAATTTCCAAGCTATTTGGACTCGTATTATTGGGAGATATATCTTTACCATGTACCTCAGATAACTTCAGAATTATGAGATCCGAGGAACCAGACTCCAAGAATAACTGCTGCGAGCAAACTGGTTCAGAAAATTTCAAGCCGTCGTCATGGCGCTCTTCCTGGTTTTTATCAAAATCATTTTCAAATCCGAAAGATTCATCATCTGGAATTTCAGTCAGAGAATAATGTTCCATGTATTCGTAATTTGCAAGACGATTCTCAAGTTCTCTAATTCTATTTTTCATTTCCATTACTGTAGAATAAAATATCGAGATCCTTCTTTTCTGGCTCTTGTACTTACAGGGGACCCCAGCCTTAACGCAGCTCTCACAATTTTCTCCTCCTCCACATTTAGATTTTCTTCTTTGACACCTTATGCAACTAAAACGTTAGTAATCACAACCTCTTAAATTAAAAAAATAAATAAAAAGCTCACTCACGCTAATTTTGATCTTTTCTGTTTACTTCCACTTATATTTCTATCGTGCTTCGAATCAGGAGTCTTTTTTGACATACTATTATAGAGTTTCTCTTGCTCCAATAAAAGTTACGATCCACTAAATTACATAGATAACGATATGCATTTTTCAATTTTGTGTCATTTTACGGATTTTAAGAATTTCGTCCGTGTTATACACCAAGGCTTTTGTACTTTCTAGTAATGCACAGTGCCTCGGTAATAATCATTCATTGAGGTAGGTGACCTAAGCCTATTGAATTATTATTTAGTTATCTATCTATCGGTTAACGTGATTTTATAGCTTTTTGAATAATCTCGGCTCTAAAAAAAGAATATATTTAAGCGATTACTAAAAGATTGCATCAAACTCTATATGTTTGGTGCTTTACTTTTTTTTGTAACCTCCGCAAGCCTTGACTATCACCCTCATAAAAGTTTTTATACAATCAATATAGTCTTCTATATCAACCCGTTCATCTGGCATAGTGTTATACTTACCTCCTGGTCCGCAGACCACTCCTTCCATTCCTAACTTTTCATATAAATGGCCAGCATCGCTTCCATAGAAGCAAGGTGGTTTAAGAATACCTCTAGGTTGATCTATTCCTTTTTCGGCCTTATAAGATGCATTCAAAATTCTCACGATCTCTGCATTTTCGTCAACTTCAAATGGTGGCATAAAATCTTGCTTGATAGTTGATAGCTCGTATTTCATATGGGGATATTTTTGTTGAACTGATTTCAACTTGCTTTCAATGTCATTGATTACAATTTCATTAGACTGACCGGGAGCATATCGTGCAGCACCAGTAATAGTAACAAAATCTGCGACTTGTGGAGGTCTCCAGGTTTCATAATCTCTACCCAACCCACCTCTTATGGACCCGATATGGCATCTATTAATACTCTCGTGCTTTTCAGACCTAGCATCGGAGAATGTCATATAAGTCAAAGACTTAATAACATCCATCGAAGCTAAAATTGCATCTGTAGCTTCTTCTCTTTTAGACATATGCCTTGTATCACCAATAATGTTAATTTCAAAAATTGCCGACCCAGCATGCATTGTCAAAGCACCGACGTCAGTTGGTTCGCAGTTTATAAAGAAATCTGCAGTGTCTTTGGTGATAATCTTGCTTTCCAAAAGTGCAACTGTACCTACTCCTCCCTGCAATTCTCCCACAACGTAAGTTAGTACAACATCTCCTGACACTTCAAACCCGGAATCAATCAATGTTTTAACAGCCATATAATATGCACAACAGCCAGATTTCATATTGGAGACGCCAATACCATATATGAAGTCGTCATCAACAAGACCCTCATATGGATCGACCGTCCATCCTTCTGTAACAGGATTGGTATCCACATGACCATTGAATAATAAACCTTTCCCATCATATTTTTCAGTTCCTTTCCACACACCAACCGAATTAGCTCTCTTTGATCCATCAACCTTGTCGGAAAATGGGTAAACAGACGCATCTAAACCAATCTTCTCCATTGCATCGTTCATATATTGGATAGCAGACAATTCTCCAGTTGCTTTGCTTTGTGATTTAATGCGGATAAAATCTGATAAAAACTTTAAACATTCTTCCTCATTAGGTTCTGGAAAAGTAAAAGTAGCCATAGTTTCTTACATCAATTGAGCTATGATATATATAAAACAAATTTCTTTTTCTCTCAAAACCCAGTTGAACAAATGAACCAAAATAGTATCTTTTTTGAAAATCCGCTGGATTCTTGAAGTACTTTAAAGTTATCAGTTATGGCGTATCCATCGGTTATCAGCTTCCGAACCTGCATAAACAAGTTTAGAGTCTTATCTTTAGCGCGCCAAACGAAGCTCCATCCTGCAATTTTTTAGATAACGGTTTTTCGGTACTTCAATACCGATTTGGTATCAGATGCGAGGATTGACTACAATATGCTATTATATATTATGTATATATATATATATATATCATTCATATCATTGATATCATTAAATGAAGTTTCTAGTTAATATTAAAGAATATGGGTTCTGACAAGGACACTTCTGTCGAAATCGTTGTTTCCAATTTGAAATCAGAGGAACAGAAAAGTAAACTACACGATGATGACCTGATTCGTTCTGATAAATTTGAAAATGGAATTCAGAAGGACAATATTGAAGTATATATTAAAAAAGATGATGAGGGTTTCACTGAGGATGAATCCCTAAAAGTTGCGAGGAAGATAGATTGGCACATACTTTGGATTTTGTGCATATTGTACGGTATTAATTACGTAGACAAAGCAGCACTAGGTTGGGCGGTGTTATTTACATTTGAAGAAGATTTGAAGCTTGAAGGTGATGACTACTCATGGGTCTCTGCCATCTTTTATTTCGGTTATTTAGGTGCACAATATCCTTCTTCTTATGTTTTACAAAGGTTTCCTGTTGGAAAAGTTATCTGTGTGTCTACTTTTTTCTGGGGAGCAATAATGTTGGCTCATATTGGAAGTCATAATTATGCGGGTATTCTTGTATGTCGTTTCTTACTTGGTGTATTCGAGGCACCTGTGACGAGTGGTTTTGTTCTTTTCACCTCTACTTTTTATACAAGAAAAGAGCAAGTAAGTCGTACAATGTATTGGGGGTCAATGCAAGGAATATTTTATATCATATTCAGTTTTATTTCTTATGGCTTAGGGCATGTTACGAAGTCCGTGCTCAATGAATGGAGGTTGATATACTTGGTATTGGGGCTCTGCTCTGTCGTTGCTTCAGTTATATGGTTTTTCTTTGTTCCTGATTCACCTGAGAAGGCCAAATTTTTAAGCGTTAGAGAAAGGGAGGTTGCCCTTCTTCGAGTCGCCAAAAATATGACAAGTATAAAGGAACAAAAATGGAACTTTTCACAAGTTTGGGAATGTGCTTTTGATCCTAAAGTATACTTTATAATGACATATATAATATTTTGTATGATTCCGAATGGAGGGTTGACCAATTTTGGTACTATGGTTTTGAGTTCAATTGTTAAAAATAGGGTACAATCTATTGCTATATCAGTTGGTAGCTCCTTTTTCTCATCAGGTCAAATGCTAATCTATTCGCTTCTTTCCCAGAAGTATAAAAACTTGAGAACAATTGGTATGACTGCACCATTGATAGTAGCAATTGCAGGAGTTTCTTCGGTTTATGGCACGGAATCACACGGAAACAAATGGGGAAGAATGGTTGCATATTGGATGATAAACTCGTATGCTGCGACATGGCCCTTTGCTCTCAATGTAGTCGGTGTGAATTTTGCTGGACAAACAAAAAGGGCAGCAGTCTCTCTGATATTGTTGATTTTCTTTTCAGTAGGAAACATTATTGGACCCTTCTGTTTCAAAAGTTCTGATGCACCCAAATATTCAAAGGCACTAGCAACTATTATTGGATGCTTCTGTGCAGCTTTTTTTATTGGAGTGACTCTAAGATTATACTTGATTTGGGAAAATAGAAGACGGGATAAGCTATATGGTGATGCTGAAAAAATCCTGGAAGATGAGAGGGTTGAAGGAATTATAAATGGTTTGAAAGATCAGACTGACTTAGAAAATGTCGATTTTCGTTATGTGCTTTGAGATGTTTATCTAAGCAAGATGAAAATCAAGCACAAGTAGAGAGTCACATTTGAAACCATCGATTTTCAGTTCATTATTAATATTAATGTTTTCTTTAAGAGGCATTTCTTAAGTAAGATTTGGCCTTCACAATTACCTTGATAGGTTAAGAAAAATGGCGCAACGGTATTTGAGTGCTTTTTTTTTTTGTCTTTTGCTTCTCTCCAGCTATTACTTCTAAGATCTGTCCCTAAGTATTAAGTATATTTACCAGTTACTACAATGTCAATGCTACAAGATATGACAGAAAACACTGTATGATTTGATTTCGTCTTAACTTTTAGTGAATTGACCTTTTTAATTTCTTAGTTCTTGTTAGTGTCACATTGACTTCAGAGTTTCTCTAAAGTAGCTGTGAAAACAAGTGTACCTATAAATATAACGAAACATGTGGTTATGTAAATAATCACTAAATAACGATATTACTTAATCAGAAAAGAAAGTAAGTTCCTATATTTTGGATGGTATTAATCAACATGTCCTGGGCCATATCCTAAGCGGTCACCTACCATCGCTGCTCTTCCATTATAACTTAGAAACTAACATATTCTCAATGGTTGGTCCAACGAAGGATGAAAGAGTAAGAATCATCATACGCGAAGGAGAAATACTGGCTTAAAGCATCCTAAATCAGACCATAACGCATAGTGCGACAAGCCCCCCTCCCTTCTTAGACACCAATATGGGTGACTAGTATTGAAAAAATTAATCACTAGTAATTTTAAAGATTTTGATATGCTTGAAATTCTACGTACTTTTTACCTCTTTTCGATTTTTTACTACACCTGAGTCTCTCTTGGAGCAAAAGCTAAACTAGAAGTAAGGACTTCAGAGGTGTATGTATTTCGCAAAGCAAATGCTTGACAATAGCAAGTAATTTGTTATCATCTCTTGAAAGCACCGGCTTATAATTTTGTCTCTGCTATTAAACAATGTTCAGTAATCGCAGTGTAGGAAATTCTCTGTACTTCCTTGCTAATTCTTTCCATTGAAGCTTTTCGGATAAATATGTAGTGACAAATCAATTCAAATTTTCACTAGTTTACCAGTTTTTACTCTGTTCAGAATTCCAACTTCTTTAATTACCATATTATAATGGTAATTCTCTGGTAACAAGCATCGCTAAGCTTCCTATTTTCTTTACTGCTTTTTGAACAAGCCAAATAATTGATATAGCAAAGAAAAGAAACTAGTTTTTGATTTACATATCTAAATTAACTCAGTCCAATAAGTTTCTTTTTCCACCGAGGAAAACATCACTAGAGTATCGTTACTGTGGTAGATTTAATATTTTGCAAAGCCCAAGAAGGTGAATATTATAATGTTCAAGTCAAGTTTCAATTTTTCATACTGCTTTTCAAAGCTTGGTTAATTTATGGTCCTCCATGAAAGGAACTACAAAATCTAATTTTCTGATGCTGGATTTGAAACTTGTTCATTTTTGAAGTGAAAAGAATTATCAGTTATTTAATATCAATAGCTACAAAGAGATTTAAAGCCAATCATTAAAAGGACCTAGAAAGCATAAACCAAACTGACCATCGTAACTCTTATGGACTTGAGTCCATTTGCTGTAAATAAAATCATGAAAAAAAACTTATATTACTCCAGATTGAATCAAATCTCAGTACGAGTATCTAAAATATGGATTCTTTTTATCCGTTAAATCCATAAATTCTGAATTTTCAACCTTTTCAATATTGTTTTTCTCAATAAATTTATCGCGATTAGTATTTTCCCATTTATTGAGAGCGACGTTTAATATACATAGAATCAAGCAAACGGCCCATAAAGTCAACGAAACAACCTTCGCCTTGTGATAGTATGGTCCATCATCGAATACTTGAGGGCCAATAAAATAAGCAAATGCCATCGACAGAAAGAGAAGACCGTTCGTAGTCGTCTTCTTTGTGTGTCCTGCCACATTCGATGATGCCATTGCACATATAACTGCAAATGGGGTCGCACTGTTACCGACTAAAATTATGTAGGCGACTAGTTGTCCACTTTTCTTGTATAATGAAGATACATCCTGCAATCCAATCATAAGAGCCATGCCGAACAACGACACAATCATAGCTCCAAAACAAGCAAGGCTTTTGTTCTTATATCTACTTCCTATGTAGCCAAAACCAAGTGAGCTTATAATTTGGAGAAACCCCGATGGTAAGGTTTGTAATAGCAATGAAACATCTACCCCCCATCCATAAGATTTTAACATCTGTGATGCAAATGATTGAATACCAGCCACGGGTATTTGCGATGTAGCCATTAAGCAGAAATACATCCAAGTTCTATAATCCAAAATGGCCTCCCAAAATTGTGGCCATTTGAAGACTTTAGTACCAATCCCTTGGTTGTTAGTTCTCAATCTTTCAATGGCAACTCTTTTTTCCTCTCTGTTGAGAAATCTGGCCGTTATTATGGAGTTATCCATAAAAATAAACATCAAAATGCCCCAGCATATTGTAAATGCCCCAATACCGAGACACAAAATTTTCCACGAATGCATCTTCACATGTGTCTGCAATTCGCCCCTATAAGCACTAAAGGCCAATATGGATCCTAACATAGATGCGACACCAACAGAAGCAAACCAGAAGCCAGTTCTGGATGACTGTTCGTTACTTTTATACCACTTCGATGTTATCAAAACTAAACCCCCCGTCGTTGGAGCCTCAAATACGCCCATTAATGCCCTCACAACCATAAGAGACGCAAAAGAATTACAAGCGGCCATACACATCAATGTCATACCCCAGAGGACACCAAAAAATGCAACATATTTGCATTCAGGGAATTGCTGCATCAAACGATTGTGGGGATATGCTGCAACCAAATACGCTGCGTAATAAATAGAGCTGGTCCAAGCATAGTCTCTACCTTGCAAATTACAATCTTCTAAAATGCCCATGATAGCAGCGTATGACAATGCCTGCTTATCTAGGTATTGACAAAAGTACATCGAACACAACCATGGTAAGATATGGAAATCAATTTTCTTCAAGACATTTTTCTCTTCTAATACATCTGGTTCATACGCCCCATCAACAAGATCCAAAGCCTGGTCGGCACCATTTCTTGAATGTACGCTATCAACAGGCGTACTGCTCACGGAAACATTTAATTCTTGCTTCAATTTATTCATATTGAAATTGAAGTGTTATCGATGTGCTTATTACTTTTAGACCACATCTTAACTTAATATATAATTTATATTGAATATACTTGTTCTCAACTTAACGTAGCGATAAGATAGGTTTTTTTCCGAGAAGCGTTGTTTGATGCCGGAAAACTTACTCAGGTATATCAATTATTCGCATCTTGTACCCCGTCGTCCAGAATAAAGATAAGAGGGGAAGTGATAGTTGGATTTGCTGACTCTGAATTTCGAAGTCGAAGGTAAGGTAGTGTTCTGATTAACACAATCGAAAAGTATGGTGATATGATTCAATTTTTCCATGTTATATAACTATACATTGTTGGTTAACCTACAACAAATTCAAGCTTAAATTTTATCAATTAATAAGAATCTTAAGTCAAAATTATAAAATCAAATTTCACTAATCTAACATCACCTCCATAATAGGGATTCCATTTTTCTTGTATACCGTAGCATCTTTCATAACGAAGTCAATATCATACATGGTTTCAAATGAAAGCCTTGGATCATCCTTAACTGCTATTAAGTCTGCAGCGACTCCTTCTTCGATAAATCCAAACCGTCTCCCTATCAAGTCCCCGCCACATGATCTCCAACCGTTGTAAGTGGCTGCCCTAAGAACTTCGACTACTGGAACTCCGGCCCCTACCATAAGTCCCATCTCATGAGCGTTACGCCCATGAGAGAAGGTACCTGTGTCACCACCTGCGGCCATATCCACCCCTAAGTCGTAAGCCCTTTTTACTCTTGCAAGCATGGTCCCCATGTTTCCTTGAAAAAGTTTTTCACAGACAGCCAAAGTCGGCACGAAGATACAATTTCTCTCTTTCATTGTGATAAGGCACTCATCATCAGCCCAATACGCATGTTCTATGGTTAGTGCACCAGCTTTAGCAGCCATTATTGCGCCTTCTTTTGAACCACAATGGGCAGCAACCGCACATTGACTTCTCCTTGCTTCATCACACAACGAGTTCATTTCTTCCTGCGTATATAGGATAATTTCAGGGTTGGGTACTTTAGGTGGAAACTTCACGGAACCAATATAAGGATGCTGCTGAGCTGGAGGAAAGCGTAGCACTCTTTTACGGTAATCTGCGTAGAATTTGATAATATCAGCTCCCGCCCCGATCCTTCGTCTTACTGCAGCTCTAACGCCCTCAACTCCGTCACATCGGTCGTAAACTTCTGGTACCTTGGTGCCACCAATGGTGTTTTCCGTGCGCACATCGTATGAGGATGTAGACGCAAGAACTTTCGTAGCTACATACAATCGTGGCCCCACGGTGATTCCACGATTGATAGCATCTCTAATATTAGTATCTGCATCCTGCATAGATTCAGATCCCAAATCCCGATAAGTTGTATAACCTGCGAGAAGAGCCCTCCTACAGTGGTTGACTGCTCTAACGATCCTTTCCGCAAAAGATTCATCTCTCTTCTGTTCAACAGATTGTCTTTCTGTGTATGAGTGCAAAAAAATATGAGTGTGTGCATCCACAAGACCAGGTAGGACAAATTTACCCCGTAAGTCGATATCTGGATGTCTTATGTCGGTTGGTTCTTGATCCCTAGTATAAACCTTTATGACCATGCCAACACTTGGATCAACCACGAGTGAAATATTTTGCTTGAAGGTTTTCATTTTGGGATCAAATAGTTCACTGGTGTGAATTGTGAAGGGCAAATCAGGTTCTTTTATCAACTTTCCCGCATAGTCATATTTTGGGCCTTTTAAAGTATTTCTTTCTTCAGGAAAACTACGGTTATGCTGAACAACTCCGTGACCAAGACAATCGCGGCACATAGTACTTATTTTTCTTATTGCTTTAGTTTGCTTCTTTCAAACATTGATACAAAATATCATGTTTCCTTGCTGAGAGATATACTTTATTTTTTCTGATGAGTTAGCGAAGTTTTTTCCGTTTACTCTGAAGATCTTAGCGGGATAATATGCAGCAAGATAAGGAAAATATTTCCGCAGGAAAAAAGTGATTCAATTTATTACAGATTTTTTAAATTCGTCCCAGGAAAGATTCAATAGATAATATTTTTAAGACAAAACAAAATTAAACTAAAATCTACACTATGCTTTTTATTTCGTTGGGCAAGACAGATATGGGCCAGCTTATATGAGCATGATAACAAGAGCGATGTCCATCAGTTAAAATGTCAGAATATTAGTGATGTTCCATTCATCGTTCCAATTGTTTTCAATACCAACTTTGATAGCATCAAACTGTTCAATATCTTCTGAGAATAAGAAATCATTGCTTTGTTCTAAACCCATAATATTCTCTGCATTTTTACCAAAGATATTTAATTCAGATTTTTTTGGGTTATCACCGTAAGGAAAAAGTAGCTTGTTGATTTCCTCTGTAGTCCATTGTTCATCATTTTGACGTAAAGAAGAATTATTATCAATAACTGTAGTTCCATATGCCTTATGGAAAACGCAACCGCCTATTTTTTTTAAATGATGATAACATTCAGTAACAGCAGGCCATCTCTTAGATAACATCAAGAGCAAGGTTGTGCAGTTCAGGTATTGAAGCTTGATTGAATCAAGTGAATATTTAGAAACAACCCAGTCAGTGTCATTCCAGATAATATCTAAAAGACAGGAAGCGCATTCAATTGTGAAATATACCCCGTAGAGAACGTAGTTAAGATTGCAGTTTATAGAATGCTCTAAGTGCATATTTATCAATTCATCGATTAGCTTAAGAGTTTCCTCTTTTTGTTGATATGTTGGGTTCATGTTTGCTGGCGATTTTCTTTTCAATCTTAATTTTTGAATTACAAGGTTGATGCTTCTAAATTGCAATTGATGAAGCTTTTCAAATTCGTGTGCCTTTGCATACCATTCTTCAAGCCTATTTCCTATATTCTTTACCCAATCATCAAGTGTAAGCGGAAATATATCCTTCGCTAACCATAGCACGTCAATTATTTCAGATTCTAGTAGCCTCATTTCGTAGAAATGCATTGCAGCAGCTTTAGTAGCAGTCTTATCTACTTCGATTCCTTGAGAGCTTATATATTTATCCGCAACTACTGAAGGAAACTTGGATGTGACTAAATTATTATCTAGATAGAAAGGAACTCTTGCTAGAGAGCAGAGAGCCCTTTCCATTGAATGTGTTATCATGAAGAGCCTTCTTCTTGTATCTAATTCCAATGGATCTACGCAGGTATCTGGTTCTCTGAATAAACCTAACGCAATTGACATCCTGCTAGCAATTCCTAATGCATACCATGTGTCACACGCTACTGGGTTTGCAAATGAATAATGGCAAAAGAGCAAAATCACCGTCAAGGTTTCATAGCTGTCTTCCCATTTTAAGGCACTAAGTTGCTGAATAGCTGTGACAAAGAGAGCATTAGATGACCCAATCGCTTTCTTTTCACTTTTCCATAATAATGTACATGAGCTGATTGCCATGGCTAACGACACTACAATTATATCCAATGAAGGTACTTCTCGTTCTTTATCAAAAACTACATTGTATGAAGTCCTCAATTGTACTTCAGAAATGCATGGATACTGAGGTAAATGGTACACCGTGTAGTTATTGATAAGAAACTCCGAGAACTTTTTAGGTATAGACCTGAGGTCTATTGGAGAAGCCTGTATTCGGTTTCTTTCCCTTGAGTGGATCGTTTCTCCAAAAAATGGAGCAGGTAGCGAATTCGGTCGTAAAAACAACGACGAGAAAAGTATTCCTTTGCGACTAGGGGTCCAAGTAATCAGTTCTGAGATCAGAGACTCCTCTACACAGTCTAATAATGGTTCACCAATGAATTTGTATAAATCTGTGCTGTATTCTTCGTCGTTCTCTTCCAGCTCATCATATCTAATATTTTTAATTCGAAAATATGTTTCTGACAATAACTCGACTTTTCTCAGAAGATAGTCCACTAGGCATCTGGGAGCAGGCTTTTTCGTGCGAGGGTTATAAGCAAAGCAAGTTGTATTTTTTGTTTGGCAGTAAGAGCAAGCAGGATACTCCATATCGCATTTTCTTTTGCTCTTTTTGCATGCATAGCAAGTCTTTATGGGTCTGAAATGAGATTCGCTAGCAGCTAAAAGTTCGGTTTCAAAATTATCACCGAAGCAGTCCATGGTTTATTGATGCTAATTAAGATTCAAGTAGATTACCAGATGACTTTGATTCAATTTTTTTTTGGGATTAGACTTGGACTCTATCCAGTTGAAATACCGGCTTCGAAGTAAGATTCTATCTTGTATCTTCAATTGGGATAGATTAGAGAGTTAATCGATTATTGAGCCTGAAAGTGATCCAAAAATTATAATGATGTCAGGAGTTTAAATTTGTGTGCAGAATTTCAATGCTACTTAAAAGAGTAGCGTTATCGAGATTAGTCTCGATATGGAAATTGCAATCACAAGATTGAAAAAATGAGTTGATGAATAATTTGATATCAAGTGCCCCAGTATTACTTCGACTAAAACTATTATACTGAGAGAGTATTTAGAAAGTATATGACAGTAGAATCATCCGATGGGGGTTAAGTCTTAGAGCACATATTTGCAAAATTTGGCAAAGAAATGGTGCTCAAAACGAAACATTGTATGATTTGGTATGGATCATTCAGTCCTGCCAAAAAAAATTGAGTCTAAAAATACAGCTATTATTAAGGATGACACTAAACTTTTAGGACATGAAAAGATAACTTACTGAGGAATAATCACCCTTACTCGATACGAAGATGTAAAGTTTCAAATGCAAATGGTGAAAGTGAGAATTGAGTTACCTACGATGATGTCCACCTATCAGAAGACCGAAATTAAATATCTTCTTTGGTGCGAGTGAAGACCCAGCGACATAAGTAAGCTTTATCTAAAGTTTTACTCACTCTTAAGAACTTTCTAATATTTGCTAAATTTAAGTCAGATATCTCCGTTTGCGATTCCGATCTTGCGGAAAAGTTCCGTCCATTAAAAAGCTCGAATAATTCTTTTGATAAAAGATTCTGAAGATGTTAAGTATGATTCTTATAATTTCAATATGATTCAAACATGTAGTAGGTGTCAAAAAAGACGAATGAAAGTAAGTGAAAGCCTTGGAAGCAGTGCAAATAAATATAAATACTGACATGATAGTGTGATTCGTCCCTCCCAGCCTGTATCAGATGTTCTGAGGATGGTATAGAATGCACTTATTTCGATTCTTCTATAATGCGTGACGTATCACGTCTAAAAATCCATCAATTATGCAACAAAATTATAAAATTAAAGGACTATATCAAGCTTCATGAGAACAAAATTGATTTGAGTAATGCAACTCATTTGAATTCGAGTTCACCATTAAAGAAAATTGAATCGACTAGTATTAAAGGACGAAAGGAAGTTCGCAGTTTAACCAACACCTCAATGAGATCAGGTATGGTTGAGTTGACTATGATTGAAGAATCTAGCAAAACAAAACACTATATTGGTCCTCTGAGCTCACTAGCTGTATTATCTTGGGCTTCTTCGGCTTTGAATAAGAAAGTTGATTTTGGTAAGTATAGAACGCTGTTTGCTTTTTTGGAAGAAAACAGTCAATTTTCCGAAGACTTAAGTCAAAAGTACAAATTCGAAAAGATATTACTTACTCCCCAAGTTACTCGCATACTACTTCAACATTATTTCGAGCACATATACCCTAACTACCCAATATTTGAAAGATCATACTTTATATTTGATGTTAAGATAAAAAACCTTCCAAGTAAGAAACGCCTCTTTGTGTTGTATTCATTATCAATTTCATCATGTCATTTAATGAGAAGTTTAAAGCAGTTTTATCCTATTACGTTAATGTTACAACAGTGGACTTCGGAGCTTTGTAAAGATGTTTTAGCTGAAAATAGCGCTGAATCATTTCTAGCATTGATTCATGAGTGTATCTTTCAGCTTTTTGAAACAAATTCGCGCAGTCTCTGGCACATATTGGGACTCTGTACCAGGTTTTGCCTCAAATATGGATATCCAAGATATCTATCCGAATCAAGTGAGGAGCTCCGCGATTTAAAAAAGGCAATTTTAATCTTGTATGACATTGAAACGGACGTTTGCCTTTCACTCGGAAGACCATCAATGCTTACGGCTCAGAAATTTAATACTGAGAAGTTATCAGAGCATGAGAAAGCCATAATTGAGAGAAGTTTGAACAGAATTACTTTATTTCGCGTACTATTAAATTCAAACTTAAAATGCCCATTCTCCGAAGACTTGTTCAATATAATGAGGGAAGATCTAAAGAGAGACTTTTCGTATTTGTTGGAGCTCTGGCTATATATTGGGTGCCATGTTTTGCATGAATGTAACAGTTGTTCGTCACGACATAAGGAATGGTTCCATTTAATCTCGTTCAGTCTAATTAAATACGTTGATAAAATTCATACTTTATTTACTATGAATGAGATAGATTGCATCTGGCTTACCACTACTAAGGTCTTCACAGCAGGTATTGTATTCATAGTCGTCCTAAGATTCTTCAAGACGTCTTCTAGATTTAAGATCGATGTTAAAGAGCTATCTAAAATTGAATATGAGTCATATAATTATGTGGTATCCAAGTACTCTATAGAAGCCTCATTGGAAAAGTGTAAACATATTTTAAAGGACTTGTCTTTTTTCTGGGTGCGAGGCAGGATTTACTCCGAAGTCTTGAAAGATTTTCAAGATTTGGTTAACTAATAATTATATTAACTATAGATTTCTCTATCTCCACGTGAAATAAATAATAATCCTACATCGATTGTCGATATAAGTATTATTTTTGGGCCAAGTAATACTCTCGTTCTCCTATACCACTCTTTAGCCAGCAATCTAATATTTCATGGTGACCCTAGGTGCTAGAATCGACTGAGTTCATCCAGTTTGGAAACAAGCTGTGATGTATCGTTCGCTGTATTTCGCCAAGTCCGATAACCATGACTCTTACCAAATAACCGACAGCTGCTTTGAAATTTGATAAGTTGCTACTTGCTGCTTCTTATAGACAGGGAATACCAAGAGAAACTCCAGTTTTTGTCTTTCCGAAGATATTCATAATATCTGAACGTTCCTAGAAGAAAGATAACGAGGGGCAGAGTAATCTCGGTAATATCATTGGCATTAATTATATATGTTTAGCTCACTAAGACAAGCAAGCTTAGCTTTGATCCCATCAAGAAAGTTAATAATTATTCTTTTTTAGTAGACAAGTCCCTAACAACTTTTAAAGTCTTGATTAGTATTAATTGCTTCTGGTTTTCACAATAGCTTACTTTCTATATTTTCAAAGAGAATTGTGATACATCATTAATGCAAACGAAAGCACAGTTTTTACAGTTATCTCCCCGTCTCCTAAACCAACCACTCCTATCTCATTTTAAATTTCCGATGTCCTTACATTCCTATTATGTTTCTGGCTGTAATTTATTTCTAGCTTAAAAAAATAAGCTGTATCGGGAGATTGTAGACAAAGCCAGATCTCCGGTCGCCGCACCAAAAGATCGGAGAAGTTTACTAATGTGCGAGCTTATGCAGACAGGTTTTATAAATTTAGCGGTAAAGCATCATTATGCGGGTATATATCTTTGAATATATTATCTTTCGAACAAGGATATATTCCAGCTACAGAATATTTGTTGCTATGTTTTTTGCCGATTTATCATTAGATGGGAACCACTTTTTATTTATCCTTCTAGTTGCTGCATCTTATTTGGTCAAATGTGTTTATTATTTTGCTTATGGATCTTCCATTAAAAAGATTGCTAATGTGCCAGAAGCCAAAGGAGATGTGGCTTATTTTGGCCATTTGAAGTTATTGAAAACCAATCATGCAACCGAATTAGAAAAAATTGGTGACAGCAACCACTGGGAATATTTTCAAGTCAAGTTTGGCGTTGAAAGGATACTTATCTTGCATTCATTTCAAGCAGGCTATGATATTTTTGTCAAAAACCTGACAGCATTAATTGACAGACCACTTTTTTATACCTTTCATAAATATGTTTCCGGTACGCAAGGGTTGACGGTGGGGACGAGCCCGTGGGACACCTCATGCAAGAGAAGGCGCATCGCTATAACTAGACACATGACAAGAACTTCTTTGGAAAAGTTTAGTGATGCTGTTGACGTTGAGACATTTTCATTCATTCGTGATCTTTGGGATGCGAGTGAACATGGAAGGATTGGAATCGATCCCTTCGAATTTTGCCAGAGAATGGCTTTGAATGTAACTACCATGCTTTGTTATGCTACTAGGTTTAATAGTATGAAAAATCCTTTACTCAAATCTATTTTGGAAATTGTGTCACATATAAGTTCCTTCAGATCAACAAATAATAACCTTCAGGATTATGTTATTCCGTTCCGCTATCTTCCAGACAGAAGAAGAGAAGAAGCTTCTGAATATAGTAACAAGCGAGATGTCTGGCTTAATGAGTTATTTAATAAGGCTCTCGAAAGATCTGAAATCAAGGAAAGTCTCGTTAGCTCACTCAAGGACCCTAAGAGCAAATTAGATATTAAAGATTTAAAGTCTATATGCGTATCCCTTGTATCTGGTGGCTTTGAAACCTTAGCAAGTATTGCAACGCTTTTAATTGCTCAGATATGTACAGTTAGGGGACAAAAATGGCAAGAAAGAGCCCATTCGGAACTCATGGACCTCTATGGTTCTGGAGATGTCGCATGGGAAAGGTCAATAATCGAAGAAAAATGCCCTTTCATTGTTGCTTTCATCAAAGAAACATTGAGATATTATGCTGTTATCCCTTTATGTCCTCCTAGGAAGACAACCAAGTCATTCGAATATAAAGGGACCGTCATACCCAGTGGAATAACTGTCATTTTGAATACACAAGCAGCTAATCACGACAAATCTTATTACGGTAAAGATGCAGATGAGTTCATTCCAGAGCGTTGGATGCAAGAGCCTTATGAAGCGAACAAGCCTCCTTTCCACTTCACATTTGGTGCCGGGTCCCGCGCATGCCCAGGTATTTTGTTATCGAATAGAATATTGTTTGCGACTTTTGCTAGGTTGATAACGTTATTCAAAATCAAGTCGCTGGGTTCAGACCCAGAGCTTTATTACAAAACATATTCTAGAAGCACTGTCGCCCAGACATACTCCCCTAAGCCCTTTAATGTTTTTCTAGAGGCACGGGAAAGCGCGCTAATAGAGAGATGTCTAGAAAAGTCCAAAAACTCTACTCAAGACCTTCTTGACCTTTCTCACGAATATATTTAGTTTGCTTCTAGCTAAAAACTGTTAATATCATTGATAATCTACCTATTTGCAGTCATTTTAAAGAATCAGGTGCGTAAGACTCACATCCTATAGAACCCATAATATGCTTAGTTTATATATGAATTCGCTTTCTTTTATATTTTTAGTAAATTGCAAAAGAAATATTGCAACTATTTAGGTTGTTTATTGGAAAGAAAGGACAAAATATTTTACATCAAGATATAATATAATAAAGCATAGTGTAGCATAATTCAAGTCGACTAGTTCAGAAAACCAAAACCAAAACTAAAATTTTCTTTTTTATTATAGTTTTCTTTGCGAAGGCTATATCTAGGATCCATAAAAGTGCGACCTAGTGAGGTGCGAGATATATGACAGCATAGTAGGGACGACTATAAATCGTAGACAATACGCACTTGCGAACGAATATTACATCTTATGTATTAATAAATCATTTCATTTTCAAACGTTAGCATAACCGAAAAAAGTAATATTGTAATATCGCAAGAAAAATTCACTGGAAAAGGACACTACTGCCACATACTATCAAGATTTTTATAGTATGTATTACCAATCATATTTTCCTTGAACTTTTTCACAGATAGTATGAAATAAAGAATTGGTAAATTAAAAATAATTAAGTTTCGCAGTAATTACTTAAGTAATACCATTCGTATAACTCCATTATATATCTGATTATCGGAGCATTGTTTTAGTAACTCTGATAAGACGATTGAAAAACGAGTTTGGAGCTAGAGCCATTTAGACCATTCTGTGGTAAACATTTCCGCCCCGATAAGCCCAAAAACTTAATTTTAAACAACTAATTGGAGATAAGCACTCAGGTCGTCGCTCAAAACCGACAGATTTTTATATTCGATAAATAAATCCAATCTCTTGTAAAATCTTATTATGATTATTTTAATATATTTCGAAATGGAATTCAATAAGTTAGGTAATTCTGGTCTTTCCATATCACCTTTGATTGTTGGTTGCATGTCATATGGGTCAAAATCATGGGGTGATTGGGTTATTGATGACGAGGAAAAGGTCTTTTCACTTCTAAAGAAAGCTTACGATTGTGGGTTAAGGACATTTGATACTGCTGATGTTTACTCCAATGGCAAGTCTGAGGTATTGCTTGGTAAATTCATTAAGAAGTTCAGCATACCAAGAGATAAAATAACGATTTTTACTAAGTTATATAACCCGATCGATCCTACGGATCCACATTTTAAATTTAATGATTTATCCAAGTATCCGAGCTACGAATATGCGAATTCTCGTGGTTTATCTAGAAAGCATATATGGGATGCTATAGAAGGTTCTGTCGAAAGGTTGGGAACGTTTGTTGACGTTTTGCAAATTCACCGGCTTGACAGACAAACTCCAAAAGCAGAAATAATGAAAGCTTTGAACGATGTAGTGGAGAAAGGGCTTGCTAGATATATAGGTGCTTCTTCAATGAAGGCTGTGGAATTTGCCCAATTACAATTCATCGCCGAAAAAAACAATTGGAGCAAATTTATTAGTATGCAAAACTATTACAATTTACTTTACCGAGAAGAAGAAAGAGAGATGATACCATTTTGTAATAACAATGAGCTTGGGAAAGTCGGATTAATTCCGTGGTCACCAATTGCAAGAGGAATTTTGGCAAGACCATTGAAGGCGCACTCCAAATTTAACAGAAGTCCGAGTACCGATAAGACGATGTTTAGGTTAGGATTAAATGAACTTTCCAAGGAAGATCAAGAAATAATTAAGAGGGTTGAGGAACTATCCAAAAAGCACAAGGTAAGCATGGCTGTTATATCATGTACTTGGGTTAGAAGTAAAGGTGCGACTCCAATTATCGGTTTTAACACGGATGAAAGAATTGATGAGCTTGTGAATTCATTGTCATTCCAACTCTCTGACGAAGAAATAAGGTACATTGAAAAACCGTACAGAGCTAAGTTTGAAATACAAAACTAGGGTAAATCCAACTTTTGAAAGTAATAGGTAGATGACACGGTATTATTTTCAAGTGTCTACGGTAGTTTTTTAACGATGTTTCTTTCCTTTATGTTCCTCTGATCAACCATAGCATGAAAAGTCCATATCTCTACCAGTTACAAATTGGATAATCATAACTTTTACTCTTTCTCTTACTTTATGTCTTGCATTTAACTGGAATATATTTTTGTCAAAGTAATTCCATAAACTCCATATAAGCCAAATTCTAAGTGGGAAAAATTTTAATTTCTTCTATTATGAACAGAAATTACGGTTAATTCTGTTATAAATGACAGATAAGGCGTGGGAAATTAACGTGGATGTGTTGGGATGTAAAAGTAAATATGGTGGTTCAATATAAACTTGTACTTATGAATTGAAAGAGATATATGGTTTCTTTAAGCTTTTTTACCGGATTCCCGTCATTAGTGGTTTATTCGATTCTTGCTGAAGTATAAGATATATATGGGGAGGTTTTTGTATGAAAGGTAAGCTGTTTATTTCTAATGCTCTGTGAAGAAGTAATCGCTTTCACGGTTGAAGGTAAAAAGTTATGCTAGCTAGCAACTTCATTTTCGGCAAAATTGAAAAAGATCACTCGTTGTTACGCTTCCATAAACATATATGTGAAAAAGGAAAACAGCTGACTTGAGTACGACCACTTTAAAAGTTTTTGAAGATGAAGCGATAATAGTGTCAAAACATTTAAATCAAACACACTCATCTTAACTCAGTTACTATTATCAAGTGGTCTATGTGATTTGCATAAATTACATTGTAGGCAAAAAAATGAGACCTTTGTGGAACTCTTAACTATTGTTAAGGTTTTAGTCTTAATAAGATAGAAATATAGAAATAGTGTAATAAGTTACAAAATGTAAATATTCACAATTTTACTTAAACAAAACCCGCTATCTGTAAGCAACTTAAAATACTCCCTATGATCATGCGAGCTAAAATACATATATAAGAACTGCAAGTTTATAGAAGAAATACCGTGAAGCACATAGTAACTACTCATACTGAAATGTATTTTTCAAATTGCTAGAAAATATTTGAGACCATGACCCTTTGGTTGCAGCCATCTTGATGTGAATATTCAGCATACAAAGATACAGCAAGAAAGGAGGATCCTTTCATTTTATTTCATTTTAATTCAATACCTTCTAAATTCGTGCCTAACTTTAAATCGGATCTTTATTTTCTTCGCTTAGAAGCAATCGCCTTAGAGACAATAGTAAAATTGGTGAGGTTTTGGTTAGGTATTAGAAATCTATGCATCTTTCCACAGGTTCCTGATTATGTGCTGAGAAACAACCAACAAAAATTTTGTGAACATATCTCAGAACTTAAGAAGGCTTTATCATGTGCTTTTAATCCAGTTTCTGGACTTCTCCCGAAGATTTAGTTTTGTTTCAATAATATCTTGTAAAATGGTGTCACGGATGGTATAATTTTACATGCGGCACAAACTTTAACACCAGAGGGAGCTACGCTCTGGTTGAAGTCAACACACTTTGGACAAGTTGATAAGTATGTTTCCCAAAATTATGTTTATTATGTTGCCCACCTACATTCCCTATACTTAGAGATTATGTTTTATTTTCCAATCTGATTTTGGGTTCAAATAAGTTAAAAAAATCAAACGTAATAGGAAATTTTCCGCTTAATTTATCCATTCGATTGGAAATCTCTTTTCTAGTTCGCGATAAAAGGTAAACTTCCCCGAATTTTAAACGTTCTTATCGGAGATCTACTTACTGATCAGTCAGATAAAGAAAACTATATTATAATGCACAGAATTGTTTCTTGAGTGATTTTAAACTCAAGTTAAAAATGACCAATCTTTTAGCAGAAAATATATTCGGAATGAAAGGATACCAGACCGTCATTACAGGTGGTGGTTCAGGACTAGGGAGAATGGTAGCTAGGGGATATGTTGCCAATGGAGCTAGTGTTTGTCTTGTTGATATGTGTCAAGATAGATTAGAAGAAGTGAAAGAAGAGTTGCTAAAGATTAGAGGTGAAACATATTCTGAGTCAAAAATTACTTCCATAGTTGGGGATTTGTCAACAAAAGAAGGTATAAACCAAATTCTAGAAGATATCAAAGCTGAAATTTCAGAATTAGACGTGCTTGTCAATTGCGCAGGAATCCGAAAAGTGAACAAGCTTACATATACACCAGGAGAAAGCTTAGAAAAATTAGCTGCTGCTGCTAATTCGTCAGCCTATCAAGACTGGGATATGACATTTCGTGTGAACGTTTTTGCGCCCCATTTTCTAAGTAGTGGGTTAGTGCAATTGCTAGGGGAATCCTCAGCTAAAGACCATGGAAGAGGAAACGTGATTTTCTTCTCCTCCGTATCTTCTGTTCATAATACGCAGTACGTTCCTACTTATCAAGTTTCGAAAGCAGCAGTAGATCACTTAGTAAGAATCATGGCCGCAGAGCTTGCAGACAAATACATAAGAGTTAATGCTATATCACCAGGATTATTTCCAAGCAGAATGAATCCATCTGATGCTAGTCTCCCAGAGTCAAATATGAGGTATGCGAAAGAAATGCCTGCCAAAAGAGCAGGACTCGAAGATGAAATGGTTGCAGCAGCATTGTTTCTAGCCAAAAACAAGTATATGGATGGTAGAATTCTTCGAATTGACGGGGGTAGGTTACTTGTTGCTCATGGGAACATTGCTAGTGAGTAATAAAATATATGTAATTAAATTATTTTTTTCGATTAAACATAATATCAAAAATGAAGCTTTTCAAAAATTCAACTTTTATCATATGTTTGACCTTAATAGTGTATTTCGCAATATAGATACACATGTTTAAAGAACCTCTCTTTTTTTCTCACTAAATGAGCTAATGAAGAGCTGAGGGACTTAAAAAGAAGGGCTGCTTGTTTTGTCGTACGTCTATTATTTTATGAGTGTGCGATAGAGAAATCATGATTCTTCAATATGGGATAACAAGAGGTCGCGGGAAGTTCGAGTCATGCGAAATCAAAATACGATTGATTTGCAATGAGAGCAATATCTTAATAAATTTATTTTTTGACTTGAGTCATCTCAACATATCCATTATCTTCAATAATAAGTAGCTTAAGCTTTTCAAGATATAATATTCTATTGTGTTTTTTGGGGACACCCATATGAAGAGTGTAGCTGACTACTTGGACACCCAAATATCTAAATCGGTATCAACTTAGATTTCAGTCAAAGGTTCTGATATATCATCTTTCATTTAACTTATTCAATGAAGTGCGAAGTTCTTTCATCCTGATCAGAACCATCTTCTTTATATCAGCCTCTTTCAACTCGATGATACAAGAGGCATGACATAATATAATGCTCTACGTTAGTGCTTATTTGCATAGAGGATAATTTTGAGGATGGTTAATGTTTGATATTATTACACATTTATTTATGCAATTATCACAAGAATCATAATACATACAGTATATACCCTCCTCAGAACTTAATAGAGGCTCAAAGGCGCATGTAGTGCTTCTGCATTCGTTCTTAATACTACTCGTTTAACTCTTTCCAAACTATTTACTTTCGACAAGGATTTCAAGTTCGCATAATATTCTGAGAGCTTTCCCATCTAAAAGATGAAATTGTTCCCGCATCAAACGAACCCTAGGTAAAAGTTGAAATTATCCAAATGTGGGACCTATATTACCAAACTTAATTAAAACTTAATTTGTATCGCTTATGGCCCTCACTTGGTCTGCCAAAAGATATCTCCCCTTTTTTTTCAGATAAATTGACAATTAATGTAGCTAGTGTAATCATTGCTTCGACTCCAGTGGCATTTGGTATTACACCTCTACAAATGGAGTATGGATAATTATCTTCATCCGAAAGTCTTCTTCTAATGTCCTCAAAGGATGCAGAAGTTCCTTTGCTAAGTTCAGTTAATCTTTCAAGCCTGCTCAAGGAATTGGGAGCAGGATAGTCCTTGACAAAGCGTTCTTGAGCATATAAATGATTGGTGTGGAGCACCAATCCCTCTTTGTTAGGTTCTAAAATAGCCAATCCCTTGGGAGATGCCTCTACACTCAAATACTTTCCTGATTTGTCTGCCAACATAATATTTGAAGTTGAAGCAATACCAAAACGCTCGAGATCATATAAACATTCATCAACTGATGTAGCCTCCAAGCATTTTCTGATTGCAAGATGCACAGGGAGTTTAATTTGTGCCACCCCGCATTTTATTGCGTTCATCATAAGTCCCAAACCAGAATCATTAAATCCTATTTTACCAACAATTCCTGCTTCTGACATCATAAGAATTCTCGGCTTATATTTTGGCTTAATATCGAGTATGACAATGCCTTCGCCGAGCTCTTTTATCCAATCCCAGTTTTGAGAAATGTAGACATCACCGCTATCGACGTTCTTTTGACTAAGAGAACTACAGCCGTCGGAATAATTTGTTAGACAGATTTCAGATCTTATATTTAAGGTGATTATGTCCAGCATGTCTCGCTCAGCACCTACTGCAATTCCACGCATTTCTGCTAATATTTCGGGCCAATATTTCTCAAGAAATGGAACATACTTTCGGGCCCTCTCTTTTGCCTCGTCCCAGGTAATCTGTGCTGTCTCTTGGTAAAGCTTTTCATATGTTTCAACATTTTTTTTAATTAGGTCTTTTCCTACTGCCCCATGCTTTAGGCCAATTTCATAATTAGACCCTTCGCATCTAATGTACGGTATATCAGTGTCATAAAATTTGTTCTCGTTACTTGGGTCCATCTCAATGTCGTGAATAGAACCCAAATCAAACGTGTGAAATGAGCCTAACTTAAATATGACAAAAATAAAATCTTATCAAGGGAACTTTCTCCGTTGGAATTACTCGATTTGCGGAAACATGCTCTTTACATTATCAAAATCAGAACTGAAATATAAAAGATAACCTGATATCAAAGAATTTCTAACGCATTTCAATTCAAGACTATCAAAAATTCTTCCAAGTGTGAAAGAAGTAAAAGAAATGTAACAAGGTTACCTCGCTTGCACATTTTGTCAGTTAAAACTCTTGCTGGCACCATTCCTCTTACCTGATTCAAAGATTTAATGGAGAATAAACCTGCTATCTGAAGTTCGGTCATGTTAATAAGACATGACATAAGACTAAGGAATTACACATCTAAATAATAGAATTCCTGACGAATCTTTTAAAAGTTTCTAATATATGGCTTTGTAGCTTACACATATTAATGCTTAATGCTTGTTAATTTATTTTGGTTAACTTCCCCTTATTTACAATTTGTTTCTGGATATGGCTTAGTTAAAGAAAAAGTCATCTATATCTATTTCAAAGCCTCAAATAATTTCCAAGGATTTATCCCATTGAAGGCGATCATGAGTTTTTGAAGGTCGGTTTCTCCTGCTTTCGTTATCATTATCTCAACCTATTACACAAAAATACCGAAAATGCACTTGGAACGGTATGGCAGATTTCATATAAGTTAATGGCTCATGTTATCAGTGGAAACAAGAAAAGGGAAAATATCTAACTACGATTTAACTCAATCTAAGCAATAGAGAAGTACCATGGGTATAGTTATTTAAATTTTTAGTGATGATTTCGTTTAGAGCCGCTTTAAACTATAATGATTAAATATCCTGAATTTTGAAACTGCGTGTAGATATGGTTGCAAGACGTGCTATAACAAGGCCATTTGTTCTCAATGTAGGTGGCTACAGTCCCTCTGATATTATTGGTTTCCTTTGCAGTAGGGAACATTCTTGGAACATTCTGCTGCAAAGGCTTTGATGGTCGCAAGTAACTAAGGCGCTAGCAACCAATATTAGATGCTTCTGTGTAGCTTTTTTATCGGTGAGTTTAAGATTATACTTGGTTCGAAAAGATATAAGACAAAACAAGCTACATGGCTATGCTGAAAAGTCCTGGAAGATCATAGCTGATAAGATTGATTCAGAAAACGTCAATTTTCGCTATGTTTGGAATTTTAATCATAAGCAAGAATAAACAAGCCAAAGTAGAGTGTCTCATATATTTTGTGTTCCTATTACAGATACTTATTTACGTTAGCTAGATTTTTTCCATTGATTGCATTTGAAACGTGACAATCGATTTTCAGTTCGTTATTAATATTGATGTTTTTTTTTTAAGAAACCTGTTTTTAGTACTTTTCAATCTTCACAGTTATCTTTTTAGGTCAAAAAGAATGGCCCATTAGCGTTTGGGTTATTTTTCTTGCTTCTTTTTTCTTGTCTTTTGCTTCTCTCTAACTATTTACTTCCAAGATCTGGCCCTAAGTGATTAAGTATTTTTATCAGCTATCACAACAGCAATAATGTTAAATGGCCCGAGATAAAACATTGTATGAATTGACCTAACCTTTACTTTTAGTGAATTGCCCTTTTTAGATCTTTATCAATCTCTTAGAGTATCACATTCCCTTTAGAGCTTCTTTAGAGTAGTTGCGAAAATTACTATATTGAGATTCGAAAGGATTTTGAACACAAAATATGTCAAATTGAAGATAAAAATTAACATGGAACTTATATAAGACCAAATGGTCATGTATTCTTTCATGTTTGAATGAAAGTAGATTATATTTAATACGGATCCCTATTGAATTCTTGAACTGAGCTTTTAGGTCTTCTTTTTCCTTTTCAACTTATTGGATTAATCAACTGTTAGAAGGTCAACTTAGCAAATATTATGGACACGAAAGGAAATATTCTAGCGGCATTCTCCTTCATTGCAATTGCCCTTTTACTACCTGCTTTTGTTTGGCATTGTCGTTGTAAGAATGTACCAGCTATCTTTTTGATTTGCTGGCTACAAATCAGTAACATAATTAGCTTTATTAATGCTATAGCATGGAGTGATGAGAATTTCTACGAGAAATGGGATGGCAAGGTGTATTGCGATATTGCAGTAAAACTTGACATAGGTGCATCTTGTGGTAAGGTAGCAGCTATAAGTGTTTTAGCGATGAATCTATATATGGTTTTATGTGCCAACAACCCTATTTTCATGGGTAATAAGTCAAAGAAAAAGTTGATCATTGAACTCAGTATGTGTGCTATTACTCCAATTTTTGTAATGTCAGTCAATTATATTATCCAAAGCGGAAGATACTCTGTTTTGCGTTACACTGGGTGTGTTGAGCCATATAGTGAGTCTGTTGCATCACTTTTTCTCAGTACCTTTTGGACGTTCCTTTGGGCAATTGTTGCGGTAGTATTTGCGGTTCTATTATTAAGGAAATACTTTCAAAAGAGAAAAGACGTTAAAGACATCTTGAGATGCACTAATTCTGGCCTAAATGCTAAAAGGTTTGCTAGATTGTTAATCTTCAGTCTTTTGATAGTCTTGGTATTGGCACCACTCACTACTTACTACTTTGTAGCAGATGCTTTATCGTTCAAGGGAAAGTTTAGCTGGAAAGAAACGCACAACGAGTACTGGGACTTTATATATTTCTTTGACGTTGGATATTCGGTGACATATGGCAATTTCATCAACATTGGATTGTCTATAATTACTTTTATTTTATTTGGTTTGGGGTCGGATGCTTTAGACCTATACAAATCTATGTTTAGGAAACTTGGTTTCAACTTCGGTAGCAAGAAAGATGACAATCAGTTGTTCAAGATATCCAGTAATAAATCCGATCAGACTAGAGTCAACTCAAACAGATCTAAAGCTTCAGGTAAGCTGGAAAACTCTGCTTTGACCAATGGCTCGCATATGACGGAATTTGAATCAGAGTTTAAGAACCTCGTGAAAGAAAACTTCGAGCTTCCGAGCCCCGATAGCAGCTTAGGGAAGAATTCTGCTACTAGAATATCGACAGTTGATTTGGAAAAAGGGTCTTCGAACGAGGTATCGTTCAACTCAACAGAATCTCCGCGCTCCCAAGAAAGCTTGTATGTTCTTAATCAAGAACAAACACCAAGCGACGATGGATTTCATTATGGTTTCAGAGTTGTGCAGAATAATACATAGATTGTAAAGTTCAGTTAAGCTCTTAGTTTTTTGCTCGGCTCAAGTGAAACATCATCTTAGCTAAACTTTGGATTTGTCTTCTATATGTTAATGATTGAAATTTCATGTCTTTAAACATGAATTACTTATACACGAAATTATTTACAAGATATCATCTCCATAAACTTTTTGGCAAAAGCTTTTGATTCGACTTTCCCTTGAGTTTCTCTCATAGCTTGGCCAACTAAATAGTTGAGCGAATTCTTCTTTCCTTTTTTTATCTTATTTACTACATCCATATTCTTGTTAATGATATCCCCACAGAGTTCCTCTATTGCTGAATCCAATTCTTCTGGTGACACATCTTTAGGTTTTTCAAGATCATAAACGCCAAGAAGATGCTCTATCGAAGCACCAGAACTATCGGGATTTTTAATCATCTGTGTGATTAATCTCTTAGCAGCTGATTTTGTAACATCATCTCTGGATACCATAAGTATTAACTGGCTCAAATTTAAAGGAGTTATAAGTTTCAAATCTATTGATGTTTCCAATCTGTGGAAAGCACCAAGCAATTCATTGATCACCCAGTTATTAACTAACTTAAAGCCCTGACTATTTTCAGAGGCGACTAGCTTGCATACGACAAGATAATAGTCTAGAAGTTCCCTATTGTCGACTAAAAATTTAGCATACTTCAACTCCAACTCATATGGAGAGTGCGTTAATTTCTTTAGTATGTCCTGGGGTAATTCAGGAAGAATTTTTTGAACTTGCTCATTGATATCAGGCTCCAAACATATTTTGGGTAATTCTGAATCTGGCAAATATCTATAATCAACTGAATCTTCCTTTGTCCTTAAGCTGATCGATTGGTAACCGTTCCAACCTCTAGTCTCTTGAATGATAGTTTCTTTATTTCGAAGTAAATTGATTTGTCTACTGTACTCCGCTTCAACGGCATCATGAATTTCCCCAGTACTACCTAAATTCTTAAGCTCAACTCGTGAGTTTCCGTTGACACTCACGTTGACATCCACTCTAATAGCACCAGTCTCCAAATCACCTGAGCATATATCAAGATACTTTACTATAGCTTGATATTTCTTAATGAATGACCTAATTTGTTCGAAATTCTCAAAATCAGGTTCAGTAACTACTTCTATTAATGGAATATTCGTCCTATTGAGATCCACCTTTATTACATTGTCAAACCTGTCGTAGTTGGTCTTCCCTGTATCTTGTTCAATTTGTATTCTCTCAATGCCTATTCTCTTTGAAGTCTCCAAGATGTCATCATATTCCTTTAGTAACTCCAAATAACCATTTACAGCTATCGGATGATAGTATTGAGTGATTTGATAGCCTGCTGGTTGGTCTGGATAGAAATAATGCTTTCTGTCAAAAGACGATATACTTTGTATCTTACAATTCAATGCAACTGCAGCTTTCAAAGACAAATAAAGGGCTTCAGGGTTAAACTTAGGCTGTGTTCCTGGTAATGCGCAGTCGTAGTAACTTATTTTCGTATTGGGTGTTGAATTGAAGCTTGTCTGTGACAACGAAAAAAGCTTATACTCAGTTTTCAACTGAGTATGAATCTCCAAACCACATTTGAACTTGAAATTCGGATCTAGCTTCAATAGGGAAGATCTTGAGCTATGAAATAATCTTTTAAGAGTTATCATCAAAGCACATTTGATTGCAGGTAGAGAGATTTATATTAAGTTACAGTGGATCTCGAAAACCGATGATATAATCGACCATTAAATTGAGCTTTTTCTAGAGGTAAATTGCCGAAGAATCTCAGAAGGGTTATTACGCACTATTATAAACCAGCATAGTTATAGTGCTAACATGAAGGGTTGAAATTGACATTTTTTGATCACTTTTGATCCGTTAGTAGCTTTTTTTTAAAGGAATTAGTTGCTGAAGAGAGGGCGAGAAATAGTATGTACGAGGAGTGGAGGGTACTCATAGATGCTTTGAGTGACGAGAGCAATTGTATGACTATGTAATTGTGATAAATTCACCTGCAGTGAACGCAATAGGGTATTACTAGTTATATGGGTTCTGTTCTTGAGTTTTATTGCTAATATAAGTTAGCAAAGTGGACGTGAGAGCAGTGTATGGTTTTGACATACCCACGCAACAGACTTCTGCTCTAGGTCACAAAGGTATCAATTAATTCTTCTTCGTTTCTGCAATCTGAATCTTGTGGACGATGGTGGAGATGATGGAGCAGATCTCTCTCTTCTTGCAGGGGAGATACCTCCCACTGTCCTCTTAATACCCTGCATTAATTCAGGACATGTTTCTTTCATATTACCGAAACGATTCTCTCCATGTGAAATATCGCTAGCTGCTTGCGTCTGGGAATTGATAGCTCCAACTGTCCTCCAAGGTGTTCCTGGACGCTCTCTTTCTTGTTTGCTTGCGGATGATTTTATCAGACACTCTTGCTCCTGGTATGGAATGTCTGTTTCCAGATCCAACGTGAAATTGGACGGAAGAGAAATTTCACTTGTGGGTATAGCACCTCCCCAAAACCCGCCTGGACTAGAGCCAAAGAATCTATGATTATTGTTCATGCTGGGCCTTGAATATGATTTTGGAGTCATTTCTTGGAATCCTTCCCCCTTACAGTGGTCTTCTATTGTAAACACTTCCATATTGCTATCTTTACGCATTTTGCTTTCGGTAACTGTGAAATATGGCGCTACTCTACTACGAATCACTCTTTTAGCAGCTTTTGTCCTCTATTTGTGACAGCATATGGAACCACTATCAAGATTCTTGTTTTTGTGTAATTCGCACTACCCTCACCCCCTGTAATCATACCCTGATTAAATCCCCCATAGATAAGATTAAGATACGGTTTATAAACATTTGCTTTATTCCAGTAATCAAAGAGTAGTAGATACAATTAGTATTACAGAGTAAGCAGTAAGTATCTTGATAAGGATGATGAGATTAGTGGAATGAGTTCAGATATGGGAAATCTAGATCTTAGGATAGATATATTGGGACACGCGAGAAACGCCACTGAAGTCAAGGAAGTTAAGGAACACGATTTATTAACATGAAGTAGTCTATACCGAAATGAGATCACAATTTAAAGACGAGCATCCATTTGGTACGTAGCATTTATGGTTATTTTGATTTAAAATCGATAAACATGATCTTGTTTATGAACAACATATATACTAACTGTTTACAGAAAAGAGAAAGGCAGAGGCCACTAGAATTACTCAAAGATTCAGTGATAGATTACCTGTTATATGTGAAAAGGTAGAAAATTCTGACATTCCAGAGATCGATAAAAGAAAATATTTGGTACCAGGGGATTTATCGGTAGGACAGTTTGTCTATGTCATCAGAAAAAGAATCAAACTTCCAAGCGAGAAAGCCATTTTCATTTTTATCAATGATATCTTGCCTCCCACGGCTGCATTGATGAGCAAAATTTACGAGGAGCATAAGGACGAAGATGGATTTTTGTATGTTTTGTATTCTGGTGAGAATACTTTTGGAAAGATTTCATTGAAGGATATCGATTTCAGCAACATTGATGATATTGACTTTAACGAAATGGAAGTTTAGGTTTTATGAGCTTGACATGAAGAATGACGAATCAATAGATGGGATTCTTTTTAACATAGTACCAATTATTCGATGAGAGGGAGGGATTTCTTTTTTTTTTATCTATTTATTGTTTGATTGAAGACTTTGGTAGGTATAATAAGTTTTTTTTTTTGTTTCTTCATACTTAAGATCATGATTTATAGTGATCTCTTATTGTTCACCTCCCACTTATTTTGTTCTTTGCCACTCTTATGGCTGATTTATAGGTTAATTGCTTTAGCTGGTTTATCAAAGCGACGTGAATCTATGTTATTTTTGAATGGAACATGTGTAGCTTAATTGTAAGAAGTCGTAGTATTCACTAAATAAAGTGCATCTTTTTGGCGCTAATTAAACGTAAAAGGAGCCTCTATTCACTCTCATTAGGTGGAAGTTGAGACATCCAAGTCTTCACTGACATCAATAATAATCTCATTCTTCCTTATATCTTTCTTTCTCAAATTAGTTAAAATTTCTGTTAGTCCTTCCTTAACAGTATCGAAGTCTTCGGTATCCACATCCTTATTCACGACATCGGAAAGCTTGGCTTGTAGCAAAGCGTCATTATTCAACTCCACAGATAGACCATAAAATATAATATTATATTCATGCTTAATCTTTCCTTTCAAGACAGATTGGAAGTAGTCCTTGAAGTCGTCAAGAATGCCTTGTAGTAGCTCTTTCATATTCTCCGAATTGCCATTTTTAGGAACCACAGTAACAATTATGTCTAGATTTGAAGCTCGATATGGGTTTTTTAAATAGGAAATAACGAAAAAGATAAGTAGAATAGAAGCAATTGCAACAGTTTTGAATGATTGCCTCATAATGCCTTCTTTAATTGACGTGCTTAAATATTAGTTAGCCTTAATAAAAAGTGGTCTTTAAAGCCGTTATGAATCGCGCAATAAA